AATATTTTATAATAATGTATTACATTAAAAATTATGTACAATAATTTCAACTATGTTTTATTTTGATACATAAGCTAAATTATTGTAATGTTTCATTAAAAATCCATTCCGTAGTTTTTACGTGAAAGGGTAACAAACATCCATCCACACTGATGAACTTCCGCGTTTAATTTGACTAATATTAGTCAAATTTTATGTTTGTAAGCGAATGAGCTTTTATATTTGCTTACTAATTTTTATTCAGAGTATATAAAATCTGTTTAATATCTATAATGTGTAATGTTTACGTCAATTGTGGTGTATATATATACGCTAAGAATAGATTAAAATCAGATAATCTTTAGTTAATTTGTTACTAGGTGTGAGAGTAACTTCATTAATAAAAGCATTATGAAATATGTATAAATAAAAACAATATCGCTATTGTTCTATATCACAGAATTTTCAGAATAACGAAAAAGTACCTTTATATTTATTTGTAATGTAATAATAGAGTAAGTCGAGCAGAGGGGAAAGTAAATATCTACGGCTAAATTTCGATTGAAAGCATTACTATCGGGCTTGGGTGAGGGGAGAGGCGATGTATCTGAATAGAAATAGAACGAATACTGAAGAAAATAGCTACATTGTATTTTTTCTCTAGGTGAAACTCCCTAAAGACGACGCCATTAGTAAGAACACTAACACTTTTTTCGAACTATTCTAATCCTGTTGGCCGCAGCTGGTCTTATAGCTTCACCGAAAGATAGGAAACGAGTGCAGATGGCACTCCAAACCCGCAGAAAGAATTACGGCTGAAGGAAAGAAAGAAAGAAAGAAAGAAAGAAAGAAAGACATTTATTGTTGTAAAAACATTTTTACATATACAAATTTGACAATTGTACACTTTACACATATATATATATACATACATACACATATGCACACCCACACTCATATACATATATACATACATACATACACACTTAGAACAATTACAATAATTTATCTTATATTATTTCTAAATATGGTTGGCAACATGGCTGACACTCAGCATATGCCGTGACAGCTAACTGTCACGGCGCTGGTATTCTGTGCCTACCATTAAGGCTAATAGATATGACTTTAGACTGAAAGCACCGCTATGGGTTCGAACCTCGGCTCAGGCTGTCATAATGTCAATCCCCGTTTGAATTGGACGGAGAATCAACCGGAGGGGCAACTGGGGTCGCCGGTTACGATTGACTACCAACAATAAAGTTAGCTTTTCCATTCCAAATACATAAATCAATTTGAAGTGACATTGACATGTCGGTGACAACCCTATATAAAGCTTATGAATATTGGAAAGTCCGCGCGCCGGTTGGTCGCCCCTCGCTTATAATGGAAGTTATTCAGCTCTGGACCCTCAATGAAACGACCGTTGATGTGCCCTCATTTACTATTCTAGGCATTCCGCTACTATATTTCGCACTATTTGTGCCCCGCGGTACTGACCGTGTAGATTATGGTCCAATGTAGTCTCGCTGAAATACGTGAAAGAATTTTTAAAATCGGTCGAGTATTTTTGAGTTAATTATATATCAATACCTAAAGCAAAAAGGGCTTGTATCGTATTTATTTTTATTGTTGGTTTTGGGCTATTGTCACTGTGACCTGCACAGATCTATTGTGCTCGCCCATTTTCAAAGTTTGCCACCTAGACCCGTGAGGGACAAGAATGAAGAATATTCTTAGGGGCGATGGTTTTTGTCTCCTCGGGATATGGTGTATACAATTATCTTGTGTCGTAGAGCTACAGGTTTAAAACACCGTGTGATATCCCAAACCCATTTATGTATACTAGCTGTGCCCGCGGTTTAACCTGCATGAAATTTACAGCTCATATGATATTATGATGTATAAGCCCATATTACTGTAAAGTTTCAATAAAATCCGTTCAGTAGTTTCTGAGTGAAAGAGTAACGAACGTCCATGCATACTCAGTAAACTTTCACATAAATAGGATTAGCGAACCCATTTGGACTTATATTTCATTAATTGTAAGTAGCTTTGACGTAGTCTAGTGTTTTGAGTAGTCATGCTCACTAAAATGTCCAGACATGTGGCGGCGTGGTGGGCCGGGTCATTGGGCTCCCTAAAATATGGTCGAGCGCAGTGATGGCTGGCTCATCCGTCATACTCGTGAACGGGTGCTGCTTGTAGGGACTGGTCTGCTCTAATCACTATGACTGATTTCCTCTTATTAAATGTTTAACCAGTTGGTTATGTATTCAATATTTTCTCTATTTGAGTATTGCTAATATGTAATTGAATTAGTGCTAATTGGTGGTTTGTATTCACACACTTAAACTTAAAAATGTAAAGTAATAATAAAATTATTTAAAAGAGCAACAAGCAAGTTGCTCGTTCTTCTTATGATGAGACAGCTTTCCGAACGAGCGGTAGATTAAAAAATGTAATGACTATTCAAAGGTGCTTCAATGTAAGTTTATTTGAATAAATGATTTTCTATTCTGAAAACTCGACAAATTTAATAGAATAAAATTCTATTAAATTTGTTTTCTATATATGCATGTGTTATACGTACAAATCTTCCTTTTGAATCACTCTACCTGTTGCTGAAAACTGCATTAAATCCGTTGCGTAATTTATAAGATCTAAGTGTACAGTGGCTGCGACTTCAAGGGCAGAGAGAAACACAGCGGTGAAGGTGAGTGTTGACGTATGTACGTCGGCAAGATCCTTAAACCTATACCCGGGTCACAAGTCCCGGGAACTGTTCGGAGTTCCCTCTCGGTGACGCGATAGACTAACTGGCTGTGAATCCATGAAATGCTAAGAAATTCGTCTATATACTACATATGTAAACATATATAAGTCTATGCATATGCAAGTATTTCTATTTAAAATTCAATTACTCTTTATAATATAGGTAAAATAATACAAATTGATTACGGCCGTAATAAGTTCATTAATTATGGACAAAAAATCTAGTCCGTTAGCTTTTACCCGCGACTTCGTCCTCGTGGAATTTAACTTTTAAGTAAAAGTGTAGCACTCTTTTATTAAGTAGTATTAATAATAGACAGTATGTATAGGAATTAATACAATTTTTATAATCAGAATATGCTATTACATCAATCTGAATGAAATAAATCATTCCGCATCCACAACATGAGTAGAACAGTCCTGCTTGGCTCGATTCAAACCAAAATTGCTAATTGATCTGTCAATCGCAACCACTCTTGGGATGCTGGGGGCATTGCGTTAATTGGCAAATGTAGGTTACTGTTCTCGTTGTAATCTATACTAATATATAACGTTGATAGGTGCGATTGTTTGTTTGAAAGATAAAAATTGCATTATATTAAGTAAAATGCCTGTATGACACAGTATCAACCAAGCAGAGCTTGTGTTATCTGTACTAAACGACAAATAGAATAAAAACATAATAGAAATACGTAGATGCTTTTTTGTAAATACATAAGTACATAATTTACATAAAACATACACTACATCATACTACATAAATACAAATGTTTGTACCGTGCGTGCAATCGAACCCGCGATCATCAAAAGTAAAGCGGTATGCTAAACTACTAGACCACCGAAGTTGTCCATCACCGTTATTGACCAGCACCCGAGACATCATCATGTACTCATGCGTCGTCATTTCGGAGGACTACGAAGTCATGTATTGAAATTACACTGCCTTTCCTTACTCTTTGACTAAAAAACATTGAAATACCCACTACAAAATAATTTTGTACAATATCTACCTGGATTAGATATATCATCAGGCTGGTGGTCTGTTTACACTTCTTTCTACGAGATCTCCCCTTCATGACTGACTTGCTCCAGTCATCACGTTTTTCTTCCGATGCCTTTGACCGTAGCTGTCCTTTACAGCTTCACCGAACGATAAAGAGTCAGTGCAGATAGCACTGCAAACCCGCGGGCAACTTATGGAGGGACTGAAGGCCAACTGCTGCCTGAAGAATTCAACTTTAGTCTGCGGGCTCCGTTAGGAGTTCGAACCTCGGCTCAGGCATCGTAATTTCGATCCCCATTTGAATTGGACGGGAAATTGAGCAGAGGGGCGACGTCACCTTCTTCAAAATATCCAATTTCTTACCTTAACGTTGTTACCCTCGTAGTATATGTGGGCTGTGCGTTGTCAGATAGAAAAGGATAGATATACTTTATCTCGTTCAAAGCTCCTCGACAAAGCATTACTCAATCCCGCTCGATTTAATGGAGTACCAAGGTCCAATAACATAAGCCGGGATTAGAGCCTCCTACAGCAATTTGCGCGTCGAACTTCTGAGATATAAGTGTAGGTGCTGAGAATGCGGTATCTTGTTTCAAATACGTTTTAGGGGCCACCAAAGAAATAGTAGAATTATTATATAATAATAGTAACCTTTATATACTAGTCACAAGTAACTGTACACATATACATAAATTATTTATTTATTCTTTATTGCACTTAATAATTTTACAATTTGCGAGCTTAATGCCATGTGGCAATTATGATTAAACTTTCAACGTATTCCTTGTGAGAGTCTGGAGTCTGAACTAGGTTGTAAGTTGTAACCTGTACAGCTACAGGCTCTGTCTGGGAATTATACTTCAGTAATTTATACGACATAAAAAATATTCTATATTCATTTTGTGAGGTAAAGTTAGTGATAGATATTTTCCTAATTTACCGTACTTTCTAGTAGTTTATATTGTTCTCTCTTTTTTCATTTGATTTTATTTAATTTACTCTCTCTCATTCAGATTATAGATCCAATCAAGAATAGGCTTGCCTATTGCTGTTTTATTGAATGTTTGATTAATTTTTTTTTTGTTTAACCTTTTATGATGCGTCTACTAATGCCTGGTAACTACAAAATATCTGGAATTAATAGAAATTTAAATCTATACATATAAATAAAATACGATTTTATTACTTCTTCAGAACCCAGAGTACACAAGTTCGACTTGAACCTGACCATTATTTTTTGTTATAGGAGTTGGCAGCAGCAACACCTACCCAACGAAACTGGCGGGGTATACTGATAGCCCTGTTGGTGATCGCGGCTGTACTCGGATTGATAGTGTTCAGCATAGCGCTGCTAACACCGGCCAGTGATGGGGGCAGAGTGCGCGGTCGGCGACCCACTCTGCACGATGTCCTAACAGAACACTATAAGCCATTTAACGGCACCTGGCTTACAGGTAAGTGCTTTTAATTATTCGGAATTTATTCTACAGATTTGAATTTCGGAAATTATTCTATTCTATTTTGAATTACGATTTGAATTTATTAACTAAATATTATTGTACACGTGTTTTGTGATCCTACTTTTTATTGCGGATTGAACTTTATGTACCTCTATACATGTTAATAAAATTGGAGTATCTGTTTGGAATACTGAAATAACCGTTTTTTACTACATGCATATTAATATAGTCTGTACTGTCTGTCAGTCTGTTTGTTCCGGCTAATCTCTGAACTGGCTGGATCGATTTTGACGGGACAGTTTTTAGCAGGTAGCTGATGGAATAAGGAGTTAGGCTACTTTTATTTTAGAAAAATAAAGTTAAATTCCACGCGGACGAAGGCGCGGGATCAGCTTGTATATGTAATATAATTGTTCAACCCACTTGGTCGTACCCACAGGTTTTCGTTATATAAAGCAGCTCATAAAACACGCGTGCATTATAAACGTAAATAGTGAAGTTATATTTGCCTTATTTTATTAAATTTCAAGCTGATCAACTGAATAGTTATTAAATTAGGAATTGAAACTATTGTCTACATATTTGACATTAATATATATATTTATACGTATTCTATGTTTTGAATTTACTAGCTAAATATTATTACAAGTTTTTTATGCTTATATTTTGAATTTTAAATGCAACTTTATATCTAACTAACGATCCAACAAAAATTCGCATAGATGCATTACAAGTGTTTAAATTTCCCATCTTGTTCGATACTCTCATTATCAAGCTTTCCCTTGAATCACTCTGTTTATTGCGAATATTTTTGTTAATTGCATTAAAATCCGTTCCGTAATTTAGAAGATATAAACAAACAGACAGCGGCGAAGACTTTGTTTTATACTATGTAAAGATTTTAAAGTAGCAATTGTTGAATTATTAAATGAATATTTGATTATCACATCACATTATCATTATCACATTTTTTATACATGTGCTGGTTTGAATTTCGAATTTAATTTAGGTTTAATAAATTGTTTTTGTATACCTATTTAGTGTAGATATTTCTTAATCTGAATGCAAATATGTGTATATTAAATTATCGTGTGTTAGGACATCGACCTTTGTGATTGATATTACAAAAATTGCTGACTCATGTTTTTATAACCGTGTATTCAATCTAATTACATGAATAATGGTGACTTGTAAATATTTAGAAACTATATATATATATAATTTATACTATAATCAATTTATATAGCAAGTAAATAGAATTATATAACACCATTATTTATTAAATAACACCGTTAGAGAAAATCCATATACTGTTGAAATATATAAATAGAATATAAGATTAAATATATATAAATAGGATTTAGATAATACATAAATATAATGTAGTGATAACAGACTTGTACGCGCAGGTGGCAAAAATGCCCTATATGTATAAACACTCTTGAGTATGACTGTGACATGTGACCAATTTAATTTCCGATACAAAATCTTAAGACAGACCAAATACAAACTATTTATAACCCAATAAATCCAAATATCACGATGACTACACATAATTACTATTTCTCATATGATTACAACATTATATAAGATATCGTTAATGAATATACTTCATTAGTTCATTTAAACGGTCAACATTAACTGTCGAAAATGGAGCCGATGTACATAACGCTCGTAATCATAGCGGTGATCTATTCTCTCTACTATTACTTCACGAGGACTTTCAAATACTGGAAGGATAGAGACGTATCTGGACCAGAACCGATTCCATTCTTCGGTAACATAAAACAATCTGCACTTCGTCGTCAACATGGTGGAGAGATCACTACCAGCATTTACCATCAGTATCCTAATGATAAAGTTGTTGGAATATTCAGAATGACGACTCCAAGTCTTTTAATAAGAGATCTGGATCTCATCAAACAAGTGATGATTAAAGATTTTGACGAATTCTCCGACCGTGGAATAGAATTCAGTAAAGAAGGACTTGGTGCAAATCTATTCCATGCTGACACTGAAACTTGGAGAGTTCTTAGACAACGCTTCACGCCTTTGTTTACTTCTGGAAAACTAAAAAACATGATGCATTTAATGGTCGAAAGAGGAGATCAGTTTATTAAATATGTGGAGCATATTATAAGCAACCAAGCTGAACATAAAATCCACAATTTGATCCAAAGGTACACACTAGCTACGATTGCAGCTTGTGCATTTGGTATTGATATTGATGATCTTACAGATAAAAATCCAATAATAAAAACATTACATAGAATAGATCGTGAAATATTTACTCAAACCTTTGCAACTGAAATAGACTTGATGTATCCTGGTTTATTCAAAAAATTAAACATGTCAATTTTTCCAAAATATGTCTCAGATTTTTTTACTAAATTGACGAGATCAGTAATCAGTGAAAGGCAGGGGAAACCTACAAACAGGCGAGACTTTATGGATTTAATTCTAGAATTGAGAGAAAAGAAAGAAATTCAGTACATGAAAAGGAACGAGAGTGATAAGGAATCATATCTGGAGATGTCCGAAGACATTATAACTGCGCAGTCCTTTATCTTTTTCGGGGCTGGATACGAAACAAGTGCAACCACAATGAGTTTCTTGCTGTATCTATTAGCGAAAAATCCGCACATCCAAGAAAAATTACTTGAGGAAATAGACAAAACATTAGAAAATCATGACGGTGAACTGACTTATGACACAATTAAAGATATGACTTATCTGAATAAAGTGTTTGATGAGACACTTCGCCTATTTCCTTTAGTGGAGCCATTGCAACGAAACGCAATCGTAGACTACAAAATTCCTGGCACTGATGTTGTAGTCAGAAAAAATCAAATGGTGTTGGTTTCAGCTCGTGGTATTCATCACGATCCTAAATATTATCCTAATCCTGAAGTGTTTGATCCGGAGAGATTCAGTCCTGATGTAGCAGCAGCGAGGCATCCATGTGCTTACATGCCATTCGGAGTTGGTCCAAGGAATTGCATTGGTAAGTTTTGTTTCTAATAAATTCAATACATATATAAGGTAAACAGAATCGTTATCAATAAAGTCAGATTGTTTGTTGACCTTTTGAACGGTTATGAAGTGTCGCAGTATATTCGTACACGTAAACCATTTATTTTAGATGATTTTTTGTTTGCCGAAGTAAGCTTTATATACGTATCATTTATACTAAATACATAACAAACAATATATATGGTCAAAAGTTCAAAATACGAACTTGTAAGTATTTACAATAAATATATAAAAAGTTTTACGTACTTAATTATATTTTTTATCAAATAATAGCAAATTTATGTAAACTACTTATAAACATATATACATATAGTTGCCCGATTTCGACAGTTCAAAGTCTCGTCCTCTATTTTATTTGACGGCCTCGGTTGTCTAGCGGTTTAGCTCACCGCATTATATCCATGGTCGCGGGTTCGATTCGATTCGCACGGTACAAACATTTATATTCATGAGCATGATTATTTCTATCGGTCTGGGTGTTTTCTATGTATGTATTTTTAAAAAAAGTATCTGTGTATTTATATTAGTTGTCTAATACTCAGAACACACACTCTGTTTATCAATCACATAATTCTTTAATATGTTTCTTACCTATGACTTCCTCTAAGCGTAATTTGTGTTGTATTTTCAGGCATGCGATTCGCAAAAATGCAGTCTAGAATTTGTATTATCAAGTTGCTGTCAAAATTCCGAGTGGAAAGATCTAAGAACACTATGGAGGAAATTAAGTTTGACCCCATGAGGGTGGTCATAGCACCAGTTGATGGAATTATGTTGAACATAGTGCGGAGGAAATAGATCAGTATTCAGTGAATAGCCTTCATATCCTTGACAGCCTGATGGTCTTTCAGTTTAGCACACCGACTTACTTCCTATGATCGCGGGTTTCATTCCTCGCACGGCACAAACATTTGTATTCACGAGTATGATTGTTCGTATCGGTTTGGGTGTTTTCTAAGTATAATATTTAAGATAAAAAATATCTATGTATTAGTTATCAGTTATCTAGCACCCATAACACAGGCTTTAGCTAGTTTAACTTGGGTCTAGATGGCGTTGTGTGAATTGTACTGAGATTATTATTATTATATTATTTCTGTCAACAATTAGAAACCTTCCATGTCCTTTGTTTACATATCTACATAATAAAAATTAGTAATGCAGATTGACTTTACACTGAAGAAATTAGTGTTAAAGCGGTCTGTAATACTCCGCGTTGAGTGTACCTACACGTTACTAATAAGCCATGTAGCACACTATCAAATAAACTTACTAATGCAGTACAGTTATTACACCTGTATACTCGCTACCTAGTTACTACTGGTAAACAAATAAATTAAGTAGCTACACCTCAGCACATAATATATAACGCTACAAATGTAAATAAATCAAATTATATTGACGAGTTTTTACCGTACTAAACTCTGCGGTAAAAAAATACTTTGCACTAAATTTCGTTACATTAGTCTTATCGAAAGTCAAATAAAGAGGCGCAAGACTTTTATGTCACTAGTAAATAAACGAGGCTTAACTAATTCGTAAGTGATAACCTTGGCACCTAACATAAACAGCATTGTGAACATCATGTCTTCGTGTGATATCCAAACATATGTTGCTATTCCGGAGTGCTATCTTGTACATTTTCTACCACATATATCATGGAGAGTGATCTACGAAATTGCTGAATTTCACCATCGCACTACCCGTCAAACACAAATACCATCTTCATCATTTAGATGAATTGCGGTCCTCCGCCGTATTTGTCCAGATACTTTTTGCCACGCACAACCACATTGTGGAATCACCTTCCAGCAATGGTATTTCTGAAGCGATATGATATTAAAACCTTTAAGAGAGCTTATTTCTTCTTATAAGGCCGGAAACTTGCAATTTCTCTGGTGTTGCGGGTGGTCATGGACGACGGTAATCACTTATTTTCTACAATTAGATAGTGATAACGAGATACAATTAGTAATAACGAGAACGCCACAAAATATCTTCATGAAAATGTTATTAGAGTAGAAAATAACGTTAATTGGAAAATTATAATGCCGGATGAGGTTTTGAAAGTAATATGGAGTATGAATCCTAAAAAATCGATATGATGAAATGCCAACATCAATACTTCAATATAATAAAGAAATAGCACTGCCTTTTGCATACTTTTTTAATATGTGTCTAGAGGAAGGTGTTTTTCCTTATCAGTTGAAAATATTCAAAGTAATAACAGTGCATAAAAGAATTCAAAATTAGATCCATATTACAAATAAGAGACAATTTGGATACCAAAGAAGTATAGGAACGACTAATGCAATTAGTACAATGATAGACGACATATTAAGTAAATTAAATGTAAAGAAAAAAGTCGTAGGCCTCTTTCTGGATCTAACTTCGGCCTTTGATACTGTCGATCATGATCTCTTGTTAAGAAAATTAGAATTTTATGGCGTAAGAGGACAAGAGTTAAAATTATTTAAATCTTATCTGAAAAATCGACGACAATACGTAGAAATTAAGAATGTTGAAAATAATTGAGAAATTTTTTCATCATTCATCTAAAATGACAATAGTAAAACGAGGCGTGCCACAAGGTTCAATTCTGGGTCCTATTTTATTTGTTTTATTTATTAATGACTTAGCAGTTTTCATCACACATTCTACTAATGATGCCAGTATAGTTATGTTCGCAGATGACACAAATACTATCGTTTCTGATGAAAGTTTACATGAACTGACTGAGAAGACGAATCACTTACTTTCCGTTTTCAATACTTGGTTTTCTGCAAATAATTTAATACTTAATATAGACAAAACACATGCATTATTATTCAAAAGTACAGCGAAAGTTAAGGACACCATAGATATTGTTGTAAACGGTAGAAGAATTGATCTGGCTGAATCGGTCAGATTTTTGGGAGTTGAATTGGATAAATATTTTAACTGGAAACGTGAACTTAACTCAATGGAAACTAGTATCAGTTCTGCATGCTATGCACTTAGAAGTCTCAGAGATGACCTTAATGTTGATCAGTTGAAGACTGTTTATTACGCTCTAGTGGAATCAAAACTTAGATATAGTATAAAGTTCTGGGGTAATAGTTATAAATACAATATAAATAAGGCGTTTATATTACAAAAAAGAGCTATTAGGACTATTGTCCGTATACCACAAGTACAATCCTGTAAGCAATATTTTAAAGAATACAGAATTTTGACTGTACCATGATTATACATATTGTATTGGTGGTATTAACAGATTTTGTAAAAAGTATTCTTGGTAGTGAGACTAGGGAGAATCGAGACATAAGGTAAAGTATCTGTTCAGAAAATATCTGTCTGTCAGTCTCACTAACACGCCAAAACTACAGAACCGATTTAAATGAAATTTGGTACACAGTTAATATAGACCCTGAGAAAGGATATAGGCTACTTTTGAATGCGGTAAGTAGGGGTTGAACCTTGCATGTACCCTACATGCAAGGTGTACGTAAGAATCGTCATTTTTAAAGCTATAAGCTTGAAACTTATATTTTAGGTTGGTGATTAAATATGAATAAATATGACATTCAAATTTTGTAATAATTTTACCCTTAAAGGTGTAAAATAAAATAGGGGATCAAAGTTTTAATGTAAATTCATAATTTTTTAAGCTAGAATGATGAAACTTTTTTCATTGGATTAAATACCTCACTAAAATTATAACTCTCGATCTCACATACAAGCAAAACTACTAAACCAATTTTAATGAAATTTGGAACACAATCTAGACCCTGAGAAAGGATATAGCGTACTTTTTAATTTGGAAAAGGGTTGTAAGGGGTGTGAAAGGGTAGGTGCAAGATTGTATGGATATATTGCCATTTTCAAAGTCAAAAAATTTTAGGCTGTTGATTAAATATAAATAAAGAAAAATGGGTTGTAAGGAATTTAAAGGAGAGTTAAATGTTTATATGGAAATATTGTTATTTTTAAAGCTAGAAGCTTGAAGTTTAATTTTTAACCTTTTTATTAAATATATATTAAGAAAAACAGTTATAAGGGGTTGAAAGAGTTATGAAAGATATAGAAGTGTCGTCATTTTTGAAGCTAAAACGATTAAACTTTTTCATTTGGCTTTTATTGGGTTAGGTCATTAAATATTTTTTTCATTATTTGGTCAAGGTCACTATTTTACGCGGACGAAGTCGCGGGTACAGCTATTATATATATATATATATATATATATTATCACCTTATCTATATATCTGGCTCGCGACAGCAATACTAATTAATCAATTCGTAGTGCCTTGGTATTGGTATATTTGTGTCTCTGTCTGGAGGTAAATTATGATGACGCGTCATGACAGTCTCCTTTTAGGCAGTGCACTCCATAATTCAAACAAATATCAACTCTAAAATTATAGTACGTACGAAATAAATTACGATGTAGCCAGCCGCTAAACAGCTGAGTCGTTAATAATAGACTTTTTTCAAATTCGTCATAAAAATGTAAAAATCATGACTGTTGTATGGGTTAGTTACAACATTATCAATGTTGTGGTCTTATCTACGTCACTATTATAACCCGCAAGCCCTGAACACGTCAAGATAATCAATTGCTTCTCGGTAGAAAACTTCTAAGATGGTTATAAAAGTTATATTATTAACCCTTAGTGAAATCTGACTTTCACTAGGCTTCATAAATTACTTTCTTAGCAATCCGAGGGTGGACCGAGCAGTAGCACCTTCGCAATCATGTAAAAAAAATTGTCGTTTCCCAGAAGGAAACGACTGAAATTTTAAATTGCTATGAAATCACAGCTCACTTATTTTATCTGCATAATATAGAGTTATCCTCTATATTATGCAGATAAAATTAGTGAGCTGTAGCGTGCTCTCAACTGCCAACACGGACTTGTAAAAATAATCAGTGATTATCTCTCAAGTTTGCCAAATATCAGTTTATATGCTCTTTGTAATTAAAAAAAAATCATTACGTCAGTAGAAAATATTTCATTATAATAGTGACACCTTGGGCTTTGATAATAATAAACCTTATACATAACACAACTTTCTGAACCATCTTAGAAGTTTCCGACCGGGTGGAAAAAATTGACTAAAAACCTCTGGCTCGCTAAACTATTAAAGTGATATACTTTACACAAAGTCTTCGTTGTGGGCACCTTTCTTTGGAGAATTTTAACCAAGTAGTTTGCTTTCGAAGCTGTACATCAGTACCTTGAACATCATATGAGGACTGATGCCAGTGGTACTGTTCATGTACATAGGTGACTAGCATTATCACCAGCCTGTTTGCTATAAAAAAGTACTTGACTTGCTTATTTTTCACTGTATATATTTGAATCCATCTTTTCAATGACGAACATACCATCGTAGTCTAATATGACTATATAATAAAAGTGACAAAAATTTATTCTTCCTGCCAGAGTCGAACTCACAACCTTTGAAGTCTAAGTTGCGGTAGTAAACCAGTAGATCACAATGCTCCTGGTAATCTGTATGATAATAAACTTATTTGTAATAATTACGATGCCTAAATACGTTACGATAATACGCCAAAACATGATAGCAGATTATTAGATAATGGCATTTGTATTTATAGTCGACAACAGATGAAACCAAATTCAGAACTAAAAATACGTTGAGACAGTGATAACCATGCAGCCGATACATATAGCGCTCGCGTTTGTAGTCGTGTTATATTCACTATACTATTACTTCACAAGAACCTTTAATTACTGGAAGGACAGGGGCGTTGTTGGACCAAAACCAATTCCTTTATTCGGTAATATAAAACAAGTTGCTCGCCGTATTGAAAATGTCGGAGAAAACATAGCTAAAATACATCATCAGTTTCCTAATGAAAAAGTTGTCGGAATATTCAGAATGACAACTCCTACTCTTTTAATAAGAGATCTGGATCTCATCAAACAAGTGATGATTAAAGATTTCGACAAATTCTCCGATCGTGGAATAGAATTCAGTAAAGAAGGACTTGGTGCAAATCTATTCCATGCCAACACTGAAACTTGGAGAATTCTTAGACAACGCTTCACGCCATTATTTACTTCTGGTAAACTAAAAAATATGCTGCATTTGATGGTTGAAAGAGGAGATCAGTTTATTAAATATGTGCAAGATAATGTAGGTAGCCGAAAAGAATATAAGATTCACACCTTGGTCCAGAAGTACACACTATCTACAATAGCAGCCTGCGCATTTGGTATTGATATTGAAGACCTTACAGATAATAACCCAATAATTAAAACATTACATAGAATAGATCGTGATATATTTACTTCAAATATTGCCTTCGAAATAGACGCAATGTATCCGGGTTTGTTCAAAACATTAAATTTATCAGTATTTCCTACATATGTTACAGATTTTTTTACCAAATTAACGAGATCTGTGATAGACGAGAGACAGGGTAAGCCCTCAAACAGAAGAGACTTCATGGATTTAATTCTAGAATTGAGGGAACAGAAAGAGATTCATTCTACAAAGAGAAGCGACAGCGATAAACTGATGCAACTAGAGATGTCTGAGGATGTCATTACCGCGCAGTCCTTTATATTTTTCGCAGGAGGATATGAAACAAGTGCAACCACAATGAGTTTTCTACTATACCTGTTAGCCAAGAATCCACATATTCAAGATAAATTAATTCACGAAATAGATACAGTACTACAGAAACATAATGGTGAACTGACCTACGATACAATCAAAGATATGACATATTTGAGTAAAGTGTTTGATGAGACACTGCGACTATTTCCTCTAGTGGAACCATTGCAGAGAAGTGCAAAGGCCGATTACAAAATCCCTGATACTGATATTGTTGTGAAAAAAAATCAAGTTGTGTTGGTTTCGGCTCGTGCTATACATCATGATCCTAAATATTATCCAAATCCAGAAGTGTTTGATCCGGAAAGATTCACTCCCGAAGCTGCTGCTGCAAGACATCCGTGTGCTTACTTGCCATTTGGAGTTGGTCCAAGGAACTGCATAGGTAAGTTTATTCTTAATACATTATACTATAAACAAAACATAATATTCTTAGACGAATTTTCTTATAACTATTTCTTATAATAAATATATTTTAACAAAGAAATTATTGAATTGAATTAAAATAAAATCAAATTCGGTACAGAAAGGTGTATTTACTACGAACAAGTCCGTAGTTATGCTGCTTTTAAATTGATTTTATGACATCCACTAGATGTGGTCGGTGATTTGTACTTTGTGTGCTATCCTAAAATCATTTTAATTTAAAAGTAGTAATAATACTGAATAAATTAACGCATAGATCTACATTATTCATTACACCATTAATATCGAATTAAAGTAAATTATCTGTTTTTTATTTACTTGTAGGCATGCGATTCGCTAGAGTACAAACTCAGATATGCATCATCAAGCTGCTATCAAAATTCCGTGTGGAGAAATCAAAGAACACAATGGAAGAAATGAAATTCGATCCCATGAGAATGGTCATGACGGCACTCGATGGAATTTTACTGGACATAGTCCCGAGGAAGTAGAACGAGTATTAAACCTCGAAATTAATTGTTACAAATTAGAGAAAGCGTATAAAAAACAATATTTACATATACAGTATATACTATGCCACTATAGTGGCTTTTCTTGTTATATTTTTTTAATGTTTACCGAGGTAGACTATTTATAAAGTCGCCTGGGTACCTCCATCTACCAATTTCAGTCGCCGAGCAGCTGGCTTTGTAACCTCTTTTGTTTAAAGTGTGAAATATAACAGTGAAATTACAGGATATGAAGCTCGATATGATTCGCGCAATAAGAGGGACAGTTTGCAATTTAAAATATCACTTTAGATTTAATAAAATTTAATTATGTTATTGGCTTAGTTTATTAAATACCTTACCAATATTATGAACGTGAAAGTAACTCAGTCTGTCTCACTTACAGGCGAAATTTGTAAGGAGTTGCAAGGGCAGATGAAAGATTGTATGGAAGTATCGGCACTTTTAAAGCTTAAAGAATCTTGAAACTTATTTTTTAGGATGTTGATTGAGTTGTATAGAATTAAGTATGGAAATTTTCATTTTTGAACTTAGAATGATGAAACTTTTTTATTTTATTTATTATACTCTTATTGCACAAGTTACAGAATAAAAAAAAAACAATTAAAATAGAAAATATACTGATACAAAAGACTGTCCTATCGCTAAGCATTCTCTTCCAGACTACCTTTGGGTGGATAGAGAATTTATTGTATTATATTACTAAATATTTTTTCATTATTTAGTCAAGTTCACTATTTTACGCAGACGAAGTCGCGGGAACAGCTAGTAAATAATATGTAGATAACGTTGTTGAGCTTATTATATATTTTTGTGTGCTGCAAGCAATACAATGAGCTGCTACCTATGGGTTATGCACACTTACTACGGTACTCACATCGTTTTTTTGTATCCGTATTGTATATTATCTGTATATCTGTATTGGTAATAAAAACATTACCTCTCTATCTGTTTTTGTCATTTTATTATTGTCAATAGATGGCGTCCACAAATATACCAATACCAAGGCACTATAAGTAGTTTATAAAACATACATATAATAATTTATCTCTCTACGACAAATGTAATAGAAACTATCAAAAATTCAAACTGGTTTAAATCGGATTTCGCTTAGGTACAATAGTAGGTACTATTATATATCACCTTATCTATATATCTGGCTCGCGACAGCAATACTAATTAATCAATTCGTAGTGCCTTGGTATTGGTATATTTGTGTCTCTGTCTGGAGGTAAATTATGATGACGCGTCATGACAGTCTCCTTTTAGGCAGTGCACTCCATAATTCAAACAAATATCAACTCTAAAATTATAACACGTACGAAATAAACTACAATGTAGCCAGCCGCTATCAGCTGAGTCGTTAATAATAGACTTTTTTGAAATTCGTCATAAAAATAAATAATAATCTCAGGACAATTCACACAGCGTCGTCTAGACCCAAGTTAAGCTAGCTAAAGTGTTATGGGACTAGATAACTGATACATATACATAGATTTTTTTTTGTAAATACATACATATTATACATAGAAAACACCCAGACCGATACAAACAATCATACTCGTGAATACAAATGTTTGCGCCGTGCGAGGAATTGAACCCGCGACCATCAGTCGTAAAGCGGTATGCTAGACAGCTAGACCACCGAGGTCGTCAATAATAAAAATCATGACTATTGTAGGGGTTAGTTACAACATTATCAATGTTGTGGTCTTATCTACGTCACTGTTATAGCCCGCAAGCCCTGAACACGTCAAAATAACCAATTGCCTCTCGGTCGAAATTTCTACGATGGTCAAGAAAGTTGTGTTATAAACCCTAGTAAAAGTAAGCTTCAGTTACGAGCGTAGATTGAGAGTAGCACCATCGCAAACATGTTAAAAACAATTCAGTCACTTCCATCCAATTTAAATTGTTATCAAATCATAGTTAACCCTATATTTTGCAGATAAAATTAGTCAGCTGTCTGTAGCGTGGTTTATTATATCTCAACTGCTAATATTAAAAACAATCAGTGATTTTCTCTCACTCCAAAGTTTGTCAAATTTCAGTTTATATGCTCTTTCTAATTAATAAAATTTTCATTACGTGAGCAGAAAATATTTCATTATAATAGTGACACGTGATAGTATCAAAGCTCAAGCTTTAATAACAATAAACCTTATACGTAACACAACTTTCTTAACCATCTTAGACGTTTTTGAAATAATTGACTAAAAAAGCCTCTGGCTCGCGAACTATTAAAGAGATAGATTATATACAAAGTCTTCGTTGTGAGTTCCTCTCTCTCGAGAATTTTAGCCAATCAGTTTGCTTTCGAAGCATCAGTACTATGAGCATCATATGACGACTGATGCCCGTGGTACTGTTTATGTACATAGGTGACTGCCATTATCACCAGCCTGTTTGCTATAAAAAAGTACTTGACTTGCTTATTTTTCACTGTATATATTTGAATCCATCTTTTCAATGATGAGCATACCTTCACAGTCTAATATGATTATAAAATAAAAGTGACAAAAAATTATTCTTCTTGTCAGATTCGAACTCACAACCTTTGAAGTCTAAGTTACGGTAGTAAACCAGTAGGTCACAATGCTCCTTGTAATCTGTATGATAATAAACTTATTTGTAATAATTACGATTCCTAAGTACGTTACGATAATACGCCAAAACATGATAGCAGTTTATTAGATAATGGCATTTGTATTTATAGTCGACAACAGATGAAACGAAATTCAGACCTAAAAATACGTTGAGACAGTGATAACCATGGAGCCGATACACATAGCGCTCGCGTTTGTAGTAGTGTTATATTCACTATACTATTACTTCACAAGAACCTTTAATTACTGGAAGGACAGGGGCGTTGTTGGACCAAAACCAATTCCTTTATTCGGTAATATAAAACAAGTTGCTCGCCGTATTGAAAATGTCGGGGAAACCGTAGCTAAAATACATCATCAGTTTCCTAATGAAAAAGTTGTCGGAATATTCAGAATGACAACTCCTACTCTTTTAATAAGAGATCTGGATCTCATAAAACAAGTGATGATTAAAGATTTCGACGAATTCTCCGATCGTGGAATAGAATTCAGTAAAGAAGGACTTGGTGCAAATCTATTCCATGCCAACACTGAAACTTGGAGAGTCCTACGCAATCGTTTCACGCCATTATTTACTTCTGGTAAACTAAAAAATATGTTGCATTTGATGGTTGAAAGAGGAGATCAGTTTATTAAATATGTGCAAGATAATATAGGTAGCCGAAAAGAATATAAGATTCACACCTTGGTCCAGAAGTACACACTATCTACAATAGCAGCCTGCGCATTTGGTATTGATATTGAAGACCTTACAGATAATAACCCAATAATTAAAACATTACATAGAATAGATCGTGATATATTTACTCCAAACATTGCCTTCGAAATAGACGCAATGTATCCGGGTTTGTTCAAAACATTAAATTTGTCAGTATTTCCTACATATGTTACAGAATTTTTTACCAAATTAACGAGATCTGTGATAGACGAGAGACAGGGTAAGCCCACAAACAGAAGAGACTTCATGGATTTAATTCTAGAATTGAGGGAACAGAAAGAGCTTCATTCTACAAAGAGAAGCGACAGCGATAAACTGATGCAACTAGAGATGTCTGAGGGTGTCATTACCGCGCAGTCCTTTGTATTTTTCGCAGCAGGATATGAAACAAGTGCAACCACAATGAGTTTTCTACTATACCTGTTAGCCAAGAATCCACATATTCAAGATAAATTAATTCACGAAATAGATACAGTACTACAGAAACATAATGGTGAACTGACCTACGATACAATCAAAGATATGACATATTTGAGTAAAGTGTTTGATGAGACACTGCGACTATTTCCTCTAGTGGAACCATTGCAGAGAAGTGCAAAGGCCGATTACAAAATCCCTGATACAGATATTGTTGTGAAAAAAAATCAAATTGTGTTGGTTTCCGCTCGTGCTATACATCATGATCCTAAATATTATCCAAATCCAGAAGTGTTTGATCCGGAAAGATTCACTCCCGAAGCTGCTGCTGCAAGACATCCGTGTGCTTACTTGCCATTTGGAGTTGGTCCAAGGAACTGCATAGGTAAGTTTATTCTTAACATATTACTATAAAGAAAACCTAATATTCTTAGACGAATTTTTTTATAATTATTTCTCATAATAAATATATTTTTGCAAATAAATTATAGAATTGAATTAAAATGAAATCAAATTCGGTACAATAAGGTGTATTTACTACGAACAAGTCAAGCATAACTACATGATGCTTTTAAATTGATTTTGTGACATCCACTAGATATAGTCGGTGATTTATACTTTGTGTGCTATCCTAAAATTCATTTTAATTTAAAAGTAGTAATAATACTGACCTTTAATTAACGCATAGATCCACATTATTCATTACGCCATTAATATTGAATTAAAGTAAATGATCTGTTTTGTATTTACTTCTAGGCATGCGATTCGCTAGAGTACAATCTCAGATATGCATCATCAAGCTACTATCAAAATTCCGTGTGGAGAAATCAAAGAACACAATGGAAGAAATGAAATTCGATCCACTGAGAATAGTCATGACGGCAGTCGATGGAATTTTACTGGACATAGTCCCGAGGAAGTAGATGTACGAGTATTAAACCTCGAAATTAATTGTTACAAATTAGAGAAAGCATATAAAAAACAATATTTATACAAGATTATAGTGGTAAGCTTTTCTTACTATATTTTTTTAACGTTTACCGAAGCAGACTATTTATAAAGTCGCCTGGGTACCTCAGTCTACCAATTTCAGTCGCCAATCAGCTGGCTTTGTAGCCTCTTTTGTTTAAAGTGTGAAATATAACAGTGAAATTACAGGATATGAAGCTCCACAACTAAGTGCTCCGAAATAGTAACGCATAAGTTGTATCCCTATATAGGCCAGGGATACTTCTTGTAATCAGGTAGGTTATCAGCCTGTTTGCCATTTAATCTAACGTAACATTAAACAACATATTATAAAAAGCCGTCCATTTAAATGTAAAAATACATTTGTTATCTGTATTATTTGTAGTTCTAATTTAGAATTGTACAACTTAACTTATATTTGCGAATGTCAAATAGTTCATATTATCCATCTGTTACATATAAGAGCTGCGTTTATTAATTTATTCGATTCTCCCTCAATCTCTCATTACTGATAATATTTGTATTAATAAGCTTAAAAGAATTCCCCATTGTCATTTTCTACCTTAATTTGTTATTTAATTATGTTATTATGAAAAACAATAAAATGTTAATATGCACAATTAATTTTTTTCTTTCTAATATTTTATTGGACGGTAATGGAATGGTGTTCTCGCTTGTGCTAACGGTACACTAGCGGGACACCAGTGCAAGATGATAAGATGAGCATCAATTTGTTAAACTAATTATATCATTTACTTAACTTAATTATAAGATTTTTCAAAGAAATAACGAAATGGTTAGTCGACATCACAGAAGACCGAAGAGCTAGCAGTTACCTTGGACAAAGAATTAGTCTAGCTATTCAAAGAGGGAACGCTGCCAGTATCTTTGGAACTTTGCCTAAAGGGACCCCTTTTAATAATATATTTTAGTTATTGTATTATATTTTTTAAGCTTTTTAATTTTAGGTTGTAGTTGTAGCATCAATTTTATCATTATACTTACCTACGTACGTTCCTTATTTTTCTGTGTTATTATTATGTTAGTCAGTTTCAATCTTAATATTATATTATATTCAATTAGTGTATATGTCTAACATTTGAAATATAACATCCCTTGTTTGAACTACTAACGCCATGCAAGGTCGTCTGCCAAATAATCGTAACCAAAAACATGTTACATATATATATGTTACTAGCTGTCACGGCAAACGTTGTTTATTTACCATATAAATTAATATCACTGTTAAAAAATAGGGTTTCATTCAAGAAAGTTGAATATTTAAGGTTGTGTATATTTTTAAAAGCCGAATCATAAATAATATTGCCAAAAAATAATATATTTTAGAAGTGGATTACCGTTATCACTTAAGGGAATAAAAATATGTTACAAGAGAATAATATATATATAGACGGCCTCGATGGTCTAGCGGTCTAGTACACCGCTTTACCATCCGATGGTCGCGGTTCGAATCCTCGCACGGCACAAACAATTGTATTGAATATCATTGTTTGTATCGGTCTGAGTGTTTTCTATGTATAATATGTATGTATTTACAAAAAAAAAGATGTATCTATGTATATATGTATCAGTTGTCTAGTACCCATAACACAAGCTTTAGCTAGCTTAACTTGGGTCTAGATGGCGCTGTGTGAATTGTCCTGAGATTATTATTGTTATTATATTATTATATATGTATATATATAATTTCATCAAATCAAGGTCAAGCGGTTTCGGGAAAATATAGCGCACTTTACTACGCAAGACCGACGATCTGGTCAAATGTTACATTCGTATCGGGAAGGCATATGGATGCGAACATAAGAACAGTCTTGAACATGCAGACCGATCGTCGTGGAGATTATATATGGGGTGTCTACATAATGTCCAGCAGTGGACGTCTTCCGGGCTGCGATGATGATGATGAAATATATTAGATAATGCGATACATGGCTGATCAGTAAAGCGCACAGTCGACGCGGAGTCGGAACGTGGACTAACTTTATACTTAACTTAAATCCATGTTATCTGGAGAGGTAAACTAATGGGAGTGTGCTATTGTTATAGTATATTGCCATAAGCAGATAACGGAAAGATATCATTTGTATTGCACCGAGATAAGCAAATGTTACCTACAAAGCCTTTTCAAATTCAAATTCAAAATATCTTTATTCATGTAGGTCTATTACAGACTCTTATGATATGTCAAATCTACCGTCAGTTCGGAATGATATCGAGATGACAAGAAATTCAGCTCGTATTTTTTTCAAATAATAATGGAACATGTTTATAATAATACACAGTCATTAAAATTCAAATTTGGGAGAATAGAGTGACCACCAGCGTATGCTATCGCAAAAAACAAAAAATTTAATCAGTGTTCACAACCTGACCAGACCAGTCCCCACAAGCAGCACCCGTTCACGAGTATGACGAATGAGCCAGCCAATTGTACTCAACCATATTTGAGGGAGCACATCGACCCGGCCCACCACGCCGCCACAAGTTTGAACTTTATAGCTAGTATGACTATTTCAGGTTACTCCACTACGTCAATTATATTATTTACAGCATAGGCTGTTATTATTGACGGTGGTGTAGCAGTTTAGCACATCGCTTTACTTCCGATGTACGCGGGTTCGATTGGACGCACGCTGTTATCATTTGTTTTCAAGAGTATGATTGTTTGTATCAGTCTGGGTGATTTCTGTGTATATTATGTATGTATTTACAATAAAAAATATATCTAAGTATTTATATCAGTTGTTTAGTACCCATAATACAAGCTCTGCTTATAGTGATTGAAAGTGAAAATAATTAAAATAATAAAAGCGTATAGATATTGAAAATGTCCAATAAATAATTGATTTCAACTTTGAGAAAAAATATTGTCAAAACAAATCACAATAAATTTATTTTGCGGATAAACATTACATATGATTTTCCGCAAAGTAAATTTATGATTATGATGAGTCTACATGGTTGTGATTATAAAACGTAATGTCCCATTATGTCTTGCCTCATTAGGCATGAAATATACATACATTTTTAAATTATTTCATGAACAGTTTCCGTCAGGTTTTTATTGTTATTGCAGGTTGAGTGTACTCTATTAATAATAATAATAATAATAATAATCTCAGGACAATTCACACAGCGCCATCTAGACCCAAGTTAAGCTAGCTAAAGCTTGTGTTATGGGTACTAGACAACTGATACAAATACATAGATTTTTTTTTTTCGTAAATACATACATATTATGCATAGAAAACACCCAGACCGACACAAACAATTATACTCATGAATACAAATGTTTGTGCCGTGCGAGGAATCGAACCCGCGACCATCGGACGTAAAGCGGTGATTAACGGTAAAAATCTTCTAATATTATAAACGCGAAAGTTTGTTAGTATGAATGGCTAGACGTATGGATGAATGTTTGTTACTATCCTGTTTCAGGCAAAAACTTCATGCAGGTGAAACCATGGGCACAGCTAGTTAACAATAATACACATTACTCATTTTAGGTATTTATGCTATCAGTATTACTTAATACGTAACATGGTATAGTGATGTTACCACTACAAAATTAATGTCGATGAAACTTACTAATATTAATTTTATATATTTAAAATAGATATTTAATAATATATAAAATTTCACTATGTTAATAAGTGAAGCAAAAACTTTGCCACTTTTAACGAAAATAAATATTATTACGTTAGTATAAAAAGGTTAAAGTTTCAGAAGTTATTTTCATAATACACATTGTTTCTTGATGAAAATTGTTCAATTTACTACCACACACTTGGCTTATATACTCTATATATGACTATATTTTTAGTGTATATGTATATATAGACTAAATATTACATATATTTGTTAGAGTATTTATTATATAATTTAAATGATAAACATCCAATCATGACCTATCCGATGGAAAGGTGTAGTAGGGTTCATATATACATATATTAACAGTGTCAAGAATGTCGAAACAAGTTTGTTAGGCCCTTTAGAACCACTAAGGTGGCATACCTCTGTTTCACTATCATACCGGAATTCATACCAAGATATTTTACATACCATTTCTTAAAACTGGAACACAGCAACTTGCGATGCAAAGTGCTGGGCAACAGAAATACGAATTTAAGGCAAATATTGAAAAAGAGTAAGCCAACATTATTGTTAGACGGAAACAATTATTATTAGAATCTTTAATGTTACTGTATTGAAAGTACTGTTCTTGTACTTGCTCATAATGTAATTTTCTACATGTGAAAACAATATATAACCAGTTTTATTCATTAAAACAAAAATAGTCGAATTCGAAAAAAACGTAATATCGATACATTTGTCATAATACACACTAACAGCACTAATGAATATCAGATAATAACACTTACATAAAAACAATGTAGATAACTAGCGCTACAAAAAAAACGTAATGTACTGGAATCTAACAAATTCATACGTGAATCAACGTTCGAATGGGTAACAACAAGTGCCAATAATGGAGCCAGTGTACATACCGCTCGTGGTCATCGCGCTGCTTTATATTCTTTACCATTACTTCACGAGGAACTTCAACTACTGGAAGAGCAGAGGCATCGTTGGACCAGACCCCGTTCCTTTATTCGGTAACATCATAAAAGCTGCGCTCCGTTATGAAACTCATGGACAAGCAATCGCTAAGATCTACCACCAATATCCAAATGAGAAAGTTGTCGGTGTTTTTAGAATGACTGACCCTAATCTTTTGATCAGAGATTTGGATATTATTAAACACATATTAATAAAAGATTTTGATGAATTCTCCGACCGTGGAGTTGAACTCAGTAAAGAAGGTCTTGGAACAAATCTATTTCACGCTGACACTGACACTTGGAGAGCGCTCAGAAATCGTTTCACGCCATTATTTACATCAGGAAAATTAAAGAACATGATTAAATTAATGACTGATAGAGGAAACCAGTTCGTTGACTACGTAGAAAACATTATAGAAAATGAAACAGAACAGAAAATCCACACACTCGTTCAGAGATACACTATATCTACAATATCTGCATGTGCGTTTGGCATAGATATTAACGATATTTCAGATGATAATCCGATAATTAAAACTCTCTATAAAATTGACCGTGAACTATTCAGTATTAACTTCGCCTTCGAATTAGTTTTAATGTATCCACGTTTGTTCAAGAAGTTGAATATGACAGTTTTTCCAAAATATGTCACAGATTTCTTTTATAAACTAACGACCTCAATAATCAGTGAGAGAGGAGGCAAGCCCACGGATAGAAAAGATTTTATGGATTTGATTTTGGAACTGAGGAGTCAAAAAGAAATTCAGAGTTCAAACAGGTACGACAACGAAAAGCAAGTGCATTTAGAGATATCAGACAGTATCATCGCTGCGCAATCCTTTGTCTTCTTTGCAGGTGGATACGAAACTAGTGCTACTACTATGAGTTTTATGCTATATTTATTGGCGAAAAATCCACACATCCAAGATAAATTGCATAAAGAAATAGATGAAACACTTGACAAACACAACAGTGAACTAACATATGAAATAATCAAAGAAATGACTTATTTACGCAAGGTATTTGATGAGACACTTCGTCTTTACCCCCTAGTGGAACCGCTGCAACGAAGCGCACGTTCGGACTATGAAGTCCCTGGAACTGATATTGTCATTAAAAAAAATCAAATAGTGTTAATCACGCCTCGTGGTATACATTACGATCCTAAATATTACCCAAATCCAGAAGTATTTGATCCGGAGAGATTCAGTTCTGAAGCTATAGCAGAGAGGCATCCTTGTGCTTACATGCCATTTGGAGTTGGACCAAGAAATTGCATTGGTAAGTATATTATTACGTGTCTCAATAACTAGTCAACTAGTCATATAAAATTATCCATAACACAAACTCTGTTTAGCGTGGACTAGATGGTGCTGTGTGAATTATCCAGAGTTGTTATTATTATTATTATCAGTAAAATTTATGGAAGTGGAGGCACTAACGCTGTAATCTTGAGACTTAAAATTTGCTTGTTATTATTTCAGGCATGCGTTTCGCTAAGTTGCAGTCCAGCATCTGTATTATCAAGTTATTGTCAAAATTCCGAGTGGAGCCATCTGAGAACACGCTGAAGGAGATGCAGTTTGATCCAAAGCGGGTGGTGATGTCTCCCTTTGGTGGAATTTTATTGAATATAGTCAAGAGAAAGTAAAGCGATTCGGCACATTCAATGTTTAGTTTTAAGTAATAATGTTAATCTTAATATAGTTAATACTATAAATGTGAAATTAGGGATGTTTGTTACGCTTTCACGCCTAAACTACTGAATTCAAATTCAAATTCAAATATCATTTATTCATGTAGGACTTTTTAGCCGCTTATGAACGTCAAATTTTTACATTATAATTTTATTTTTTCCCTACCGTCCAGTTCGGTATATAGATCCAATTGAGAAGAACTGGCAAGAAACTCAATTGAATTACTTTTTTTTTTAAAGCCAGTTTATTTACAATGTATTTTTATATAGGTGTCTATGTCTAACATTAAATGAAAATTCAGTGCATGAACAACTATTGCCATGCACACTCGTCATTCAAGTAATCGTTTAGTGAGTAATAGGCTTTGCTCAGTAAATATGATTTAACAGATGTTTTGAATTTATTTAAGGGTAATTCCAACATATCCTTTGGTATCTTATTGTAAATTTTTATACCTATTCCCGTAAAAGACCTATTAACTTTTTCTAAACGATACTTGGGGACAGCAAGTAATCATCGTGAAATTTTGTACACATGTTCTTGAGGTTTTGTGTTTTAGTGAACACAGTGATACAGTAGGGGAAGCCGCGGGTAATATTATAAACGCGAAAGTATACAAGTGTGGACATTTGTTACTGTTTCACGCAAAAAGTACTGAACGGATGTATTAAATAAAAGACGGTTTCTAGTTCAACGTTTACTTATGAACTAAATGGAATCAACATAGCTTAATACTACACTATACTAATATTTATAAATTTAGCTACAATATAACAGGATTTTGATTAAACTTTACAGCAGTGTAGCTTACGCATCAGAATAACACATTGACTTTATTTTATATTGAAATTTAACGGGTGAAACCGTGAGCACAGCTAGTACTATTATATACATAAGATAGGAAACTAATTGCTTTATACATTTATGAAATAAATCTAATATATTATAATGTCGTATCACTATTATTATCGTAATCCTTCGCGGGCCTGAACGATTTTTATTACATTTATCGTGCATATTTGGTAGATCTGATAATAGTTACTTGGCAAATTTTTATACTCTACTCCTAGATTATAATGGACTCTAGTTAACTTCTAGATTATAAGTTCTATTTAGAAATACTTTATATATATTTCAAAACAACGCTTGCGACCAGATAATAATATAAAACAATACACTGGACAATTTTCAGTAGATCAAAGCTAAGCAGAGCTTGTGTTATGGGTAATTTTATGACAATTTTAATGAAGTTGTTCATTAAAAAATGTTTGAATAATTTTTTTTTTTGTGATTACATACCTAATAGACATGGAAAACACCCAAATCGATACAAACAACCATACTCATGAATACAAATGTTTGCAATGTGCGAGGTATCGAACCAACGGCCATCGGAAGTAATGCGGTTTATGAAATGGAAATTAAAGTTATGTATCCAAACCAGATAATTGTATTTTTGCGTTGTTTAATTCATAGACAGTAATGGAAACACTAGAATATGTGCGTCAATTTAAAAAATAAGTTCTGTAAACTTGGATGTGGTGTGTAACATAACTTTATTATTGTCTAATCGTTTTAATATTATGTATTAATTATTATTACTATAAAAAAAATAAAGATTCAACCAATCGGTATAGCAGCTACAACATTATGCTGCAACAGCTGGTAACATTATTTAATTTTCAACAAGTGAAAAAAGAACTGACTGACACGGGTCATATGCACCCCTAGGGGGGGTGAAAGTTGACTTTGGGCGAGTCCCTTGGCCTATGCATCGATTCCCGAGGCAACAACCCCCGGGTAAAGGGGTTAAAATCCTCTTAGGGCGGGTTACTTAAAACTTACTTATGCTAGGCACGATTTAATTTAGTCTCTGATATTAAAGAACAGAGTAGGTATAGAAAGTGCTGTGTATATCGTAAAAAAACGACTGTTTACAAGGTCAACTGTGAGGACCTCTTTCTCACAAATTTGTACTGACAAGACGTTTGTTTTGTAAAACTGTATGGCAGAGAAATTACAGGGTATGCGGCATAATAACATAGTCTTCAAAATGGAGACGCATAAGAAATGCCACAGGCGTCGTATGACGTGTGTATCATCATTTTATGCTACATCAACGTGATTCAACATATTCCTCAACAAAAATAGTAATATACACAGATAATTATTATGTATGCGTTTATACCTAAAATGGTGCATCGCAAATAATAACAATGAGTAGACACTATTCTTCTAAGATCACTACATTGTTGCTAATTATTTCTCAAAATTTAATCTCTATTTTTATAATTGTACAAGCTCATTTGAAATTAATAAGAGATGAGTTTCTTGCTAGTTCTTCTTTGCTTAAAATCACTCCGAACTAATGGTGTTTGATATATCATAAGAGTCTATATTAGACATACAAGAATGTTGTGATTTGATTTAATTGTTTTTGCCATAAAAAAGCAACGCCTATTACTCACTAAACGTGACGACACGTTACTACTTGAATGACGAGCGTGCATGGCAATATCATTTATAGAAATATAAATATTCTTTAGTCAAATAAACTTTATATAAGCATATTTGAATAGTCATAGAATATTTTTTTAGTGCACCGCTCATTCGGAACGCATTATTAAAGAGAGAAATTTGCGTGTAAATGTTGTTCATTATTACATATATAAGATTTTGTATGAATTCAAATTTCGTATTGTTAAATACGCAATAATTATGTCCAGTCACTGTTTTCATTTATTGCTAAGGAATTTTCTGTCAATAATAGGTATAGAATAATGGTTATCTGTGCTTATTAAGGAATATGTCTACTCATGTTGATGAAGCATAAATTATTATATGATACGGTGGTTACTATCCTAACTCACGACTTTACCTATAAATTCTGACCATAACTTGTAAGAAAGATCCTAATTTCGAAAGTAAGGGCTATCAGTAACTTTAAAAAAATCAGGAATTTAAAGACAAACTAGACGATTCTACTGATGAAAAGTACGAACCGACACATATGTACGTAATACCATTGTCCTCTTGATGGTAACCGACAAGTCGCCTATATACATTAATAGCACTACGGACATCACGTTTTTTTTTTTATGGATGATAATGAAATGGTGCACCCGCCTGCGCTAACGGTTTACACTGGTGGGGCACCAGTGGAGGATGATAAGATGAGCATGAGGTCAGGTCAGTTAGCCAATCGTGACAAATTCACCAAGAATTTATCACGATGGTTTCCAGGGGGAACCGCGTGGAGGTCAACCTGACATGGTACATTGCTAGCAATGGGATCATAAATCCACATTACTAACAACGCCATTTCCCCCCACGGATATCACGTTATCGTGTGACACCCGTGTTACTCATGCCACTTATCTTGTAATTTTACTGCCTAATCAATGCCTACAATGAAAGACAGATTGCTAAGCGGCTCGGCGGCTGAAATAGAGAAGACAGAGGTACCCACCCACAATATACAAAGTTACAAAACACATTGTGACCATTCTGGTACTCATTATGCGCCGCCATTTCTAAGGATACATCCGGTAATTTCTCTGCTATATCATCACCATTCAACCTGAACAGCTTGGAAAGCAAGCTGCTGGAAACATTAACCATTTTGTCGAAATGGTTAAATTTACCTAAAAAAAATCAATACGAGTGTATTTCCTAAACATGTGTAATATAAAACTTTCGCCTTTATATTATATAGATGCTGGTTCAGATCTTTTTGTATTTTGTAATTGTAATTAAATATCGACCACTGTACGAGCACTAGTAATAATAACTAGCAAGTGTATGGTACACGTACTTTGCGAGCATGTTACGAAATTGTTTGCTATACATAGCAATACAAAAAGGTTTTTTTTAACTTTCTTCACCCACATCTGAACCTATAGTGGAAAATATATTCAATGAACATTTTATCCTAAATCTTCTAAACATTTTTATAGCACATATTAATTTATTTAAAAGATAAGGAATATATCTACTCATTTGTGTACCCTCAATTGTTGTACCCTCATTATCATAAGCATGGTCAAGCTCAAGATAATGAGGGTACCACAATTTCATTTCCAACTGCAATATTTGACTGTGCCTCACTATTTCCCCGTTATTGCAATATTATTAATTTCACCGAGACAGTCTACATATAGGATGGCAAAAGTATGAGCATATGGTCAGATCAGTTATAGATGGTGGTAGATTCTACAGAATGCTTTTATTATGGTAGGTGGTGGTGGTGGTGGTAATTATACCTAAATACATTTAAACCTCCTGTCTGATTATTTATTTATTTATAATTGCACATGCATATACAATAATTTTACATATAAATAACAAATTAATAATACACACATGGACTCTGTTTAAAGAATGTAGCAATTTCATAGACGACACTGCATATTTTAGTATGTCAGTTTGTTAGGACGAAATTGAACTTATATGGTACTCATCCATTACCTCTTATCATATAATTTCATTGACCTATCTCACCATACAACCGAGACACGGTTTATAAAGTAATTTTCTTGGTAGCTGAAATACGTAGATAGAGATACCCCGGCAGACTTTTTATAAAGTCTACCTCAGTCTCCTTTATAGGCTGAGTGCAAGCGCCTTCGTCCCAGCGTCTTGCCTCATTCAAAATCATTTCGTTATATTCAGAATAATCAGAATCAGAATAATCACGCAATTCAGAATAAACTGGTTAGAATTATGTTAAATCATTGCGTTTAATTATTACTCAATACTTTGTTGTCAATAACAGACGAGTATAATGTATTATCTATATTTATTAATACTCTTGTTAATTAAGGTATGGTGCCTCATGATGATGAAGCACATCGAGGTGTTCTGACGTAGCATTTTGTAGCCTATCTCACAATCTAACCTATCAAAGTCAAATTCACATTTATTACTTGAATGGTGAGCCTGCATGGCATAGTTGTTCATGCACAGGATTTTCATTTAATATTAGACCTATACAAATATACATTGTAAATAAACTGGCTTAAAAAAAAGTAACTCAATTGAGTTTCTTGCCAGTTCTTCTCAATTGGATCTATATATAGTACTGAACTGGACGGTAGAGAAAAACTTATAATATAAAAAACTTGACGTTCATAAGTGGCTAAATGTCCTACATGAATAAATGATTTTTGAATTCGAATTTGAATAAATATTTAAAACATCTGTCAGTTATCAACGTAAATTTTTTACCACTTCCTTCTCAACCCCTGTTCCTCATTTTATCTGCAGGATAGATACCGGTTCCGTACTGGTGAGCATATGCTTTTATGATCTGGTACTCTCAATTCCCTCCCATACAAGTCACCACTATACCAAATATTGCACTGTCCTAGCAGCCCTCTTATAGAATTCCCTCCGTTCAGAGATCGCCTTCCATTATTACTGTGTAGAGAAGTCTCATTAGGCTCAATCTGAATCTGCGCCTTTTTAATATTCTACTTATTATTCTACTTTTTAATATTATACTATGTATGTATATTTATGTATCTATTTTATTAAATTCATAAGAACTAAATGTACTTATAACTTTAATTCTTATTATTTTTACTATAATGTATATATGTCTGCATTTATTTGTGTATATATTCGGTTATGACGCGTACTTGTACTTATTTTCACCACTCAGAATTCCTCACAGTCACTCCAGGTTGACTGGAAGAACTCACTCTTTTGGGGAATAAGACCGCCATTGTACGTATCTATTCTTTAAGTCGCTTGTGTCCTTTTATTTATAATTTATATTGTACATTAAAATACTACAAACAAACAAAAACCTCGAGTATTCCATCATTAAAATTCTATATTAACTGAGAATAACATAGGCTATAAAGAGTTATGTTCATGGAAGGGATGCGGCGCTAGTTACAAGTTCTTCGTAAATAAAATGGTAACTTTGGTGGAATTACGACCACGAGGTGACTACTAAGTCGAATAATTATTAGATACATATCTTTAAAACTATTGATTTGATTTTGTATCTTTTAATTAAAAGGTTTTTTTTGCCTATTTGACGAGGATATTACTTGTCTATTCTATAAACAAAATATAAAAGAAAGAACATAAACATAAATATATTATATATCTCATAATCATGTATTAAAGTAAAACGCAGCGCATATTAAAACGGCAAAGTATAGTTATCTATTGTATATATTTAGAAATTTGATAATACAAATACCTACTGGTCAACGTATATTTAAAATGAACTCGGCAAGCGAACTTCATTCTTAAACCCACATTTGACAAGAACAAGTTAAAGATAATGGAGCCAATATACATATCACTCGTGATTATCAGTCTGCTTTATTCTCTTTACTATTATTTCACGAGGACTTTCAATTACTGGAAGGACCGAGGCATCGTTGGACCAGAACCTGTTCCTGTATTCGGTAATGTGTTAAAAGCTGCACTTCGTTACGAAAATCATTCAGTACCCATCACTCAAATACACCAGAAGTATCCAAATGAGAAAGTTGTCGGAATCTTCAGAATGACCGAGCCAAACCTCATAATCAGAGATCTAGATATGATCAAACATATACTAGTTAAAGATTTTGATGCATTCTCTGACCGTGGAATCGAGTTTAGTGAAGAAGGTCTTGGTAAAAATCTTTTACATGCTGATACTGATACATGGAGAGTACTCAGAAATTGTTTTACACCGCTGTTCACATCAGGGAAATTAAAAAATATGACCTATTTAATGACAGAACGGGGAGATCAGTTTATCAGATACGTCGAAAGCATTATAGGGAATCAAGCAGAGCATAAAATTCTTAATCTTGTACAGAAATATACAATGTCTACGATTGCAGCATGCGCCTTTGGTATGGATATCGATGATCTTTCTGACAATAACGCGACAATAAAAACCCTGGTGAAAATAGATCATGACATATTCACGTTAAACCATTTCTTTGAAGTGCTTTTAATGTATCCACGTTTGCTCAAGAAATTGAATACAACTGTATTTCCTAAATACGTCGGTGAGTTTTTCCATAAATTAACAAACTCTATAATCCGGGAAAGACAAGGTAAATCCTCAAATAGGAGAGACTTCATGGATTTGCTTCTAGAAATGAGGAATCAGAAAGAAATACGCTCTTTGAAAAGAGAAAGCGGCGATAAACAAATGAATTTAGAAATTACAGAAAATGTTATTGCATCGCAGTCATTTATATTCTTCGCCACAGGTTACGAAACTAGTGCAACTACTATGAGTTTTATGTTATATCTACTTGCGAAAAATCCACATATACAAGAGAAACTACAACAAGAAATAGACAGAACACTCGAGAAGAGTGATGGTGAATTAACCTATGAAATAATCAAAGATATGACCTATTTACGTAAAGTCTTTGATGAAACACTCCGTCTATTTCCAATAGGGGAGCCACTACAACGAAAAGCAGTAACAGACTACAAAATACCTGACACTGATATTGTCATCGAGAAAAATCGAATAGTATTGATTTCACCTCGTGGTATACATCATGATCCTAAATATTATCCAAATCCAGAAGAGTTTGATCCAGAGAGATTCAGTCCTGAAGTTGCAGCAACGAGGCATCCATGTGCTTACATACCATTCGGACTTGGGCCGAGAAATTGCATTGGTAAGTCTATTACTATTGTAATAAGTAAATGAAAAACAATAATTTGTTAATAGCAAAGTACTATCTGTCGTAATAGAGCTGTTCATTGTTTCGAATCTAATATTTTAGGTTTACACAATAGTTCAGTTTTATAATAAATCAGCCCACGTTCCAAGTAGTTCATAGTTGAGATTCTGACCCTGTACCCTTTAGAAGAAAGTTACGCAAAACTATATATAGAAATACCGAGGTAGACTGTAAAATATCGTCTATGTGATTACCTCAGTCTCACCTATTTCAGCCGCCAAGCCGCTTTGTGAGTTTAATCGGTTAAAAGAAGGCATAAGGCAGTGAAATTATAGATCTTATTAATATTATGTATGGGTGGATGTTTGTTACTCTTTCACGCAAAAACTACTAAACGGATTTTGTTGGAACTTTACAGTAATATAGCTTATACATCAGAATGATATGAAAAAAAAGATAGACGCGTAAATACAATTTGAACATTATTTTTAATTGTGACATTATTAGTATTAATAATATCTCTGGACCAGTCACATAGCATCTATGAAAATCATATAGCACTATATAACAGATACAAATACACATATCTTCTGACACAATTTACATAGAAAACACCCAGCCCGATATAAACAATCATTATCATGAATACAAATGTTTGCTTGCTAGCAATAGAACCCGCGAAGCAATAGGATCGGAAGAAAAGCGGTCTGCTAAACTGCTGTACTACCGAGACCGTAATATCGTCCGTTCGTCATTATACCATATACCAAATATTATTGTAATGTCTCTCTAAATGGTAATGAGTAATTTTAGTTTTACGATTATTCCAGGCACGCGCTTCGCTAAATTGCAGTCTAGCGTGTGCATTATCAAGTTCCTGTCAAAATTCCGAGTGGAGCCATCTGAAAACACAGTGAAAGAAATCGAGTATAACCCAAACAGGGTGATCATGTCGCCATCTGATGGGATTGTACTAAACATTGTGAGGAGGAAGTAGACTGATAAGAAAGATGTAACGGTCAGCAGTAGGTACGCACGCGACAGCCCTGATATTTCAAACATTTACAACAGTAGCGGTGATTACCGGTTATTTAAACCCATCAGATGGGCCGTATGCTTGATTGCCACCAATATGAGTATAAATAAAAGTGTAAATATTGTACATGAATTTTTATGAAATAGTTTTATTTAACCTGTTCACGTTGTTGTTGTTATTTTAATATTTAACTAAATTTATTCATCCTCATAATTAAAATTAATTAAAATAAGTGAAATTTCTAAAATAATATTAGCCTAAGTTAAATACTTATATTAAGTTTATTTCAATAAAGATTATTTAACAGCTTGTTACTTGCGTCAAACAATTAATTTTAAAACTTTATGTCTCTCTGTCTGTTTTTGCTAATTCCTTTTATACTAATTCTTATCAACTGAAGCAGGTCATTGAAAAATTAATATTTTTTTCAAAAAAATACTACGTAAGTACATTAAATTAAAATTATAGGAATAGTTATATGTAAATATATTATATGACATTTACATGATGTAAAAAATATTGTTGTTAGTATTATAAAAACAAAGACAAATTTATCATATAACATTGACGCGTAATTAATACATTATCAAATAGATAGCATATAATAGATATCAAAATACAAGTATATTATAAATACACTAGACGAAAGCACCTCATATATAAATTTACGGTCAAACAGGAACCAGTGACAAAAATGGAGGCAATGTACATACCGCTTGTACTCATCGCAGTGATCTTTTCTCTATACTATTACTTCACAAGGACCTTCAACTATTGGAAGGACAGAGGCGTTATTGGACCAGACCCGGTCCCATTGTTCGGCAATATCAAGAAAGCAGCACTTCGCCGTCAAAACCATGGAGAACCTATGTATGAAATTTACAATCAGTATCCGAACGAGAAAGTTGTGGGAGTGTTCAGAATGACAGAGCCAAATCTATTGATCAGAGATCTGGATATCATAAAGCATATTATGATTAAGGACTTCGACGAATTCTCCTATCGCGGATTCGAGATGAGTGACGAAGGTCTCGGTAAAAATCTGTTTAATGCCGATACGGAAACTTGGAAAGTGCTCAGAAATCGTTTCACGCCACTATTTACATCCGGAAAACTAAAGAACATGGTTAATTTGATGACGGAACGGGGTGACAAGTTCATTTCATACGTCGAGAATATTACAAAGACTCAAGCTGAACATAAAGTACACAGCCTTATTCAGAGATATACGATGTCTACAATTGCATCTTGCGCATTCGGTATGGATATAGATGATATTTCAGATAATAACCCCATAATAAAAACACTACATAGAATTGACCGTGATATATTCACCATAAACTATTTCTTCGAAATGGTGATCATGTATCCACGTTTCTTGAAGAAACTGAATCTAACCCTCTTTCCTAAATATGTAAGTAAATTCTTTCATAATTTGACGAGTTCGATAATCCGTGAGAGAGAAGAGAAACCTACTAATAGAAAAGACTTTATCGATTTAATTTTAGAACTGAGAAAACAAAAGGATCTCTACTCCACGAAAAAGCACGAAAGTGATGAACAAATGCATTTGGAGCTTTCAGACAGTATTATCGCTGCGCAATCCTTTGTCTTTTTTGCAGCAGGGTACGAAACTAGTGCTACTACTATGACTTTCATGTTATATCTATTGGCGAAAAATCCACATATCCAAGAAAAATTACATCAGGAAATAGATAAAGCTCTAGAGAATAATAATGGTGAATTAACTTACGAAGTAATTAGGGAAATGACCTATTTGCACAAGGTGTTCGATGAAACGCTTCGTATGTACCCTATAGTGGAGCCACTGCAAAGATGTGCACGTAGCGACTATAAAATCCCCGGCACTGATGTTGTTATAGAAAAAAATCGAATAGTGTTGATTACACCTCGTGGTATTCATTACGATCCTAAATATTACCCAAATCCAGAAGTGTTTGATCCGGAGAGATTCAATCCTGAAGTTGCAGCAGCGAGGCATCCGTGTGCTTACATGCCATTCGGAGTTGGACCAAGAAATTGCATTGGTAAGTCTGAATTCATAATCAAAATTTTATTTAAATTATTATTACGATGATCCCGGTGGTCTAGCGGTTTAGCACACCGGTTTACTTCCGATGGTCACGTGTTCGATTCCTCGCATGGTGCAAACATTTATCATCATCATCATGACTATATTTTTTTTATATCAGTCTCGGTGTTTTCTACATGTATTTTGTATATATTTACAATTGACAGAGGCCCACCCTCAAAATTATTTTTTTATTTATTGAACTGATTTTTTTGTATTAATTTTTTTATGATTCGGCATTAAAAATATATGCAACTCTAAATATTCACCCTAAAATAAAAATGATATAAATAATTAATAAATATTGTATGTTCTACTATCCATCCCTATTTTTTAATTTAGTGGTATTTCAAGTTATATGACTAAACAACGTTTGCCTGGTCAGATAGTAAATATACAATAATATTTCTTACAATACCAATTATTTAATTCTCATACGTTCCTTACAGGCCTGCGCTTCGCCAAGTTACAGTCCAATATTTGTATTGTCAAGTTGCTGTCGAAATTCCGAGTGGAACCATCTGAAAATACGCTGAAGGAGATGCAGTTTGACCCAAACAGAGGTGTAATGACCCCAAGTGATGGTATTCTGGTAAACATTATACCGAGACAGTAGACGACGCAGAAAAAACAGAGATAATCTTTATTAAAATAAACTTAATATAAGCATTTTTGAATAGTCACAAATAATATTGGTTCTATCACTCATTCGGAACGCAGACTTGCATGTCGCTCTTGAGGGGAGTGGAGAGAGTAGAAGAAGCAAATAAGTGCTTATTCCTTCTTATAAGATCTTGCTGATCTTTAAAAACACTTATTCCCCTGGTCTTGCGGGTGCTCATCGACAGTGGTAATCACTTACCATCACGTAGCCTCAAGCTCGTTTGTCCCCTATTCTATAATAAATTGGGGGGTATTATGTTTAAGTTAAAGTTTAAAGGACGACAGATGTGCTATTTACGTTGTATGATACGGTACACGTTATTTCTTATGTTAAAGTTTACATTATTTATTCATATAGGGTACTTCTTGTCACTTGTACATATAATTTTTCTATCACTATCCCTACCGTCCCTTTCAGCTAATAACTTCATTTCAGAAGTAGTAGGACTGGCATATTATTTTTATTTGTAAGAATATTTCATATTTATCAAATCAAATCAAATTTATTTTGCGATAAACATAGGTTTAAATTAGTTGTGATTGTAAATTGTAATGATGCAAAACAACGCTACCGTTCCGTTCAGCTAAATACTTCATTTGAAAAGTGGTCAGAAACACGACGAATATATATATTTTTTTATATGTAAGAATGTTTTGTAGCTATACTAATATTATGAAGATAAAGAGTTTGTTTGTATAGTTTAATGAGCTAAGTTATTAGGATTAAAAAAAATGTTTTTATACCTGGATATTGTATGTAGATCAAGCCTATTATTATTATAACCCTATTTAATGCCTTATTTGTATTTTACTAAGAACCTCAATGAGTAAAGACCTCTTTCAATTCGATCCAACAGTTTCTCTAATTGGAATCCCATCAAAAACATAAATGTGAAATGATAGCCGAGTTTAATATTATGATATATGCCTTGATTGTTGACTTCTACGACAAAAGAGGTGAGATTTACCAGTTTCCTTTATATTCACCTAATTACCTATCTGCATGCCAAATTTGAACTTCCTAGGTCATCTGGAAGTGGGTTATAATTTTGATCTATAGTTGATCAGTGATAAAAATGACGATATTTGGACGTTAATATCTGAATAACCGTTTGAGATATGTTTATGAAATTTGGAACACATATTTATCTCGCAAGTCTCAATATATGAACCAAATTTTGAGTTATGAGGGGTTCAAAAGTGGCTCCAAATAGTTCGTGTAAATATACACACGGTGCTGCTCGCCAGTTCTCTTACTTGAAACTTGGCTTGACACGCTACCGCGTGTCTAGATGAAGTCTGTATGAAAGCATTAAATTAATTAATAGTCGCGTTATCTAAAAATAACAAATGTTTTTTTCTTATTTAAATGGCATTAGACATAAGTAATATTGAATTAACGAAGTTTAGTCGCAGTAGTAGACATCTACGCCTGAACAATTTTTCAGAGCAAATATTTCTAAAAGCAACATTGCAGAACAGTCTATGAAGTAAAAATTATAGGCTTAGTTGTAAAGGGTAGAAGGTAAAGCTATAACCAATTCAAACGTTACTTAGAATAGTCTTGAAACTGAATTATTTTCACCAAGAGACAAATTTATTATCTGAAAAATTGATGACGCGTCCTCTGCAGTTAGCATATATATTAAAAAAAACTATTTTTATATTTACACTTTACTGCTTCGGGAAAATTGTTCAAATCTTTATGGCTAAGAAATAAACTTCAATAATATAATATGTCAAAGACGAAGCAGTCATTTCTTTAACATATATTTTATTAACATAAGTAAATAAATAAATGGTAAACTCACACAGCACCATTCAGACGGAAACAAAGCAGAGTTTCCACTATGGGTAATAAACAACTTGTACATATACAATAATACTTTTTATATAGAAACAACCAAATCATTACAAATTTTTACATAGTATAAAACAAAATTGCCGCTGCTATCTATATGTCTATATCTATTTTTTTACGCAATGGATTTTATTGCAGTTTTCTGCAACAGTTTCAAGAGAAAGGTTTATATAAAGATATGTATAATACATGCATATTGTATTACAGACAAGAGAGAATCAAACCTGCGACCTTTAGAAGGGTAGGCAGTGCACTAAAGCTGAACCATCGAGGTTGTTATTATATGTATTGTAATAATTATTCTGACCTGGTCAATTATAAATTGAAACGCAGGTACTTTTTTATATTCGGCTAATAAGTTTAGTGTAGCTGAGCGGGCAACAGTTTGTTTTCCGCTTATCGATAATTGATGTGCCTGAGCCGAAGTTCGAACCCCTAGTGGTGCCCTCAGACTAAAGTCGTATCCGTCAGGCGGGAGTTGGCCTTCAGCCGCTTCATAAGTCCCTCCTCGGGTTTGGATTTCGGTGCCATATGCACTCGCCACCTGTCGTCCGTTGAAACTGTAAAGGCCAGCTGCGGCCAACCTACATTAATACGTAAGAAAAAACAAGATAAATTTCCGATGCTATTTTCAAGTTTGCTTTGAATATAGTACCAGAAATTTTTCAAACATTTGCTGATAATAAAATGAATACTTACATAATTATTTATCTAAACTAAAAATAAAACATTTGTAACTTGTTTTTAATGTTTTAAAGATCAGATCCTAAAATCGATATCGAAAATTAAATACAATTAACAAATGAAAATTGATATATTGTTAGCAAAAAAATTTAAACGTACGTAATATTGTTTCATCTAATTTAATTATCATTCCACGAGTTCTATTTTAATGTAAACTGCTTTTAAAGTACCGTAATAGATTCATACGTTGCGTCCAACGAAAGAACTTCATTAGTGAATTTACATTCAAACTGGCAATAAGTAGCAATGGACTTAACATATATCCCATTAATTGTAATCGTACTACTCTATTCCCTGCACTATTACTTCACGAGAACTTTCAATTACTGGAAAGATAAAAGCATAGTTGGACCAAAACGAATTCCCTTATTCGGTAATGTTTTAAAAGCAGCACTTCGAGATAAAACCTATGGAGAAGTAATCACTAAAATGTACCATGAGTATCCAAATGAAAAACTTGTTGGTATATTCAGAATGACTGCACCTACTCTTCTAATTAGAGATTTGAATGTCATCAAACAAGTAATGATTAAAGATTTTGATAAATTCTCCAATCGCGGAATTGAGTTCAGTAAAGCAAATCTATTCCACTCTGACACTAACACGTGGAGAGTACTCAAACGTTTTACATCATTATTTACATCTGGTAAATTAAAATGTATGGTTCCTTTGATGGCAGAAAGGGCAGACAAGTTTATTGAATATGTTGAGAATATTACAAATAATCAATCAGAACATAAAATCTACGCTCTGTTTCAAAAATATACTTTATCAACGATAGCGGCTTGTGCATTCAGTATTGATATTGATGATATTTCAGATACTAGTCCAATAATTAAAACTCTACTTAGAGTAGATCATGAACTATTTACTAGGACGTACGCCATAGAAATTATTTTAATGTACCCACATTTGTTCAAGAAATTCAATATGTCCATTCTACCAGCACATGTTACTGAATTCTTTTATAAATTGACAAACAAAGTAATGATGAAAGACAAGGTAAATCTACAGATTGAAGAGACTTTGTGGATTTGATATTGGAATTGAATATAAATAATTCTTATTTAAATAAATGAAATCTTAAGCACTTTTGAATAGTCACATGTTATGTTTTAAATGCCAGCCAAGAACGATGTGTAGGCAAGTAACTTGCTCATCATTCTTCTGGTAAATAAATTTTGTATTATAAAGTTATATTTTTAAATATATAACATCGAATTAGGTGTTAATTTGCGGAAGTCCATTTCATCGCTTAATGTGTTTATTTTGTTTAGTGAGTTTGGCTTATGATGCCTCATTCGGACGCGAAACAACTGTCGCAATAAATGGTGATCAAATTCCGACCGCTGTAAAATCTACACCTAATAGATTTAATATGGTCGGAATTTGATCACCATTAGAGAAGCTCGTAACACTACCAGTATCAGAGGTCAGGTTTGCGCACTGAATATATAGGTTTCACACATGCAAATGCTAGCGGAATTAAACAAAATAATATAATCCACTAAGTAATCAGCTTACGGCTTGTTTGCAGTTACAATTATATAAAAATTAAATTGTACGATTTCCAACATTTAACAAAACCAGTAAATTTGGCTTGTGGTCCTCAACTTTTAGGTCGAACTGGGTGTTACAACAAAAAACTGTTGTAACACGTTTATGTGATTTATACAGAACGTGTTTGTAGATTTTGTTACTCCCTAACAAGGGAAGAAGTTTGAAACTAATTTGCATGCGGATTATATAAGTTCGTAGAAAAAATAAGATTCTACATCTATTTGGTTTATTTTCATTTATTATTGTTAATGTTCTAATAAAACTTGATAAAAAAGATTGACTTCATGCCGAAAGCTGGATTAACAGAATGTGTTTCTAGCATTTTATGTCAATCCAATAAAAGATTTATTTGGCAGATTTATTCTACCAATCAACCATAGAGAGCGCAGATAAAAATTGTTTAATACAGTTTTATCAGTTTGCTTACACGTGTATAGATGAGGCCATGAAACAACATATAGTTGAACCCAATTAATATTATATATAACTAGGTATCATTCATTTTTCATTCATTCATAATTTAAGAGCTACGCTCTTGTCGGTGGAGCTCTTGCCACTTTCCGCGATCTTCCATCATGCTCTTTAATTCTTGATACGACACGACTCCCATTTTGTCCTCAATTTGTTTGATGTAGCTATTCCTTGGTCTTCCCCTCCCCCTCTTTCCTTCTATTTTCCCCTCAATAATAATTTTCATGAAATCATCGTGCCGTATCAAGTGCCCTAACATTTTTCCTCGTCTATTTTCTATGGTGTTCAATATTTGTCTTTTTTCTTTTACCCTGTGTAGTACTTCTTCGTTTCTTACTTTATCCTTCCAGCTAATTCTTTCCATCCTCCTCCAACACCACATTTCAAAAGCCTCCAGTTTGTCTCTTTCCTTTTGATTTAATGTCATTACATTTAATATAACTAGGTATCAAACAATAGAAAACCAAATCAATTCAAAATTCATTTATTCATGTGGGACATTTAAACCGCATATGAACGTCAAATTTCTTTGTTATTAATATTTATATTTTTCCCTACCGTCCTATTCAGTAATAACACAGATATGCAAACAAAATAAATGCATGATCGAACAATATAATATTTTATGAAAAAGGCATGAAGATATTGCAGTATATTCATATTAATTTAATTAAATATAACTTCCCGACTGTCATCACAGATGGGACAGTCAATCAACTGTCGACATCATGGCATATGCATCACTTCATATGCCCACATTCAACTTAATAATGTTTGTTTCTATATATAATAAATTACCATAATATATAAAGGAAGAATATACATTTAGTAATTAGATTATACTATTGAAAGTACTATTTCATAATAAATCATATCTAAATATATATAACTCAAAGGTGACTGACATAGTGCAACGCACAGCCTAAACCACTGGACGGATCGGGCTAAAATTTGGCATGCAGGTAGATGTTACGACATAGGCATCCGCTAAGAAAGGATTTTGATTACTTCTACTCCCAAGGGGATAAAATAGGGGATGAAAATTTGTATGAAACTTTGTCAATTTTAAACCGATCGGGCTGAGGCTTTGCATGTATAAAGCTACTATGACGTAGGCATCCCCATAGAAAGGATTTTGATAAATTCCACCCCTAAGGGGATAAATTAACGCGAGCGAAGCCGCGGGCAAAAGCTAGTTACACCATAAAGAATATCTAGAAGATACTGTAATGTGTACGTCTAGTTCTCTCGTTTATATTGCTGTGACTGAAAAGATACATGTGTAAGTTATATTTATGTATAAATATTAGCACTTGTAATGCAATAAATTAATTAATTAATATATATATTATAGAATATATCTTATATATAAAATTCTTGTGTCATAATGTTAGTTACCATACTCCTCCGAAACCGATTGACCGATTTTTATGAAATTGTATATTGTAGATCTGAGAATCGGCTACTATCTATTTTTTATACCTCTAAGTGATAAGGTTTGTCCACCCTTCATTATTATTCTATATTATTATGAATTAGCACTGAACAAAACATACAACCCTAAACAATTTTCATTATTCTACCACCACCTCAATTTTTTAACTTATATAGCAAAAAAACGTTTGCAGGATCAGCTTGTATATATATAATACTAGCTACTCGGCCCGGTTTCGTACAGGTGTACATGTATTATATATATAAACCTCACTCTTGAATCACTCTATCTGTTAGAAAATCCGCTTCAAAATCCGTTGCGTAGTTTTAAAGATTTAAGCATACATAGGGACGGACAGACAGCGACAGCGACTTTGTTTTATACTATGTAATGTAGAACAACATAAAAAAGTAACCAGTTAATTGTGTTTATTTATTATACAATCAGGGGCGTGTCACCGCTGTCCTCGTATGATTTATTATATTTAATTGGCTATTTTTTATCTGTATGGTTGTATATGTAAAATGCAAGCATTTTAGTTCATCATTTAGTCATTCCACTCATTATACAATAAAAAAACAACAATAACCCAGTACAATTTACACAGCACTGTCTAGTTCCAAGCTAAGCAAAGCTTGTGTTATATGTGTTAGGCAACAGATATATATACATAGGATTTCAGGATAAGTGATAAGGGTTGTCCACCCCTAACATAATTTTTATATATGTATTATATATATTTAATTGTAATGTGTGAGAATTTAATAACTTTATCTATTTATCTAATGAAATTAAAAATTAAATGTAAGAGAATTTATACACCTTGAATGGTAAATATTGCTGAACAACTTATTCATCATGTAAAATCTGCTCTGTACCAGTATTTTGTAAATAGACATACATTTCATTTCATTACGTTGGGAATAAACTTGCGTCCAGTTCCTTATTCTTTGGGACAAAAGTAATAAAAAAGACAGCTGGGCTCCTCCAAGTATTACGACGTTTCTATATATTCCCATTCTATAATATTTGCCAGTTTTTTAATTAATTAACCTAAATGGACGGTAGGAAGAGTGAATAAATATATATAACTCTTAGCATTCATGGATTCACTGTGCGGTTGCCAAAACCGTCGTGTGACAGAAGAGAAGGAAGACAGCTTTACAGCTCGTGTTTCTCTCCCTGCCCAACCAAATCCGGTGGAAGCCTAGTATAGAACTTACTGCAGTTCTAAATATGTGAAGATCTTTTAGAAGATTGCAGAGAGATTTTCAACTGCATATATATACTATGCAGTTGAACTTCATATATGCATATATATATATACATTAACAACATAATCAATTTTCGTTATTAATTTTTAATTATGACTTGCGTATGAGGTCGAACATCCAATAATACTACATAATATATGAATAAATATAATATGATAATTAATAACATTAAAATTATTTGTAAATTTGTAAGTCTTAAAATAAATGTTGTTCAGTTTAGTTGAATAATTTTGTTGTCTCATGCTGTTTAACGAACGAAGTCAGGCCACGCAATTAGTAATAACATAATAATGCCGATACCATTATCAGTTATAAAATAATGGTAATTTATATAATATTATGTAATACAATACATAAGAATAATTGATAGCATACTTATATGATGCGGTTTTTTTACATACAAACATAAGTAGAGTAGAATTTAAAGAATCAAGACCTAGTGACAATGAACTTAACTTTGATACTGTTTCTAATATTTGTGTTCAGTTTTATTTATTATTACTTCACAAGAACATTCAATTATTGGAAGGATAGAGGCATTCCTGGACCCAAACCAATTCCTTTATTCGGTAACGTAAGGAATGGTGCACTTCGTCTTGAAAATCACGGTGAAACTATTGCTAATATTTATCAACAATATCCAAATGAAACAGTTGCTGGTCTGTTCAGAATGACCGCTCCTACTCTGCTAATCAGAGATCTGGAGATAATCAAGCATATCATGATAAAAGATTTTGAGAAATTCTCTGAACGTGGCATCAACTTCAGCAATGATGGTCTTGGATCAAATCTTTTTCATGCTGACACTGAAACGTGGAGACAGCTTAGAAATCGTATGACACCATTATTTACATCTGGGAAATTAAGAAACATTATTCATTTAATGACAGAACGGGGAGACGTGTTTATTAAATTTATTGAGATTATTACAGTTAATCAAGCTGAACATAAAATATATACACTTATACAAAGATATACCATGTCTACTATAGCAGCCTGTGCATTTGGTATAGACATTGATGATATTTCAGATAATAATGTGATGGTTAAAACCTTGTTCAGATTAGATGATGAAATATTCACACGAACCTTTGCCTACGAATTGCTTTTAATGTTTCCAAATTTATTTAAGAATCTCAATTTGTCTGTTTTTTCAAAGTATGTAACTGATTTCTTTTGTAAATTAACAGACTCAATAATAAACGAAAGACAAGGTAAACCCACAGAGAGAAGAGACTTTATGGATCTAATTTTGGAATTGAGGAAACAAAAAGAAATTCTATCAACTACAAGTAATGACGGTGACAAACAAATAAATTTAGAGATTTCAGAAAGTGTTATTGCATCGCAATCTTTTGCATTTTTCGCAGGAGGATACGAAACTAGTGCTACTACAGTGACTTACATGTTATATCTATTGGCGAAAAACCCACACATACAAGAGAAACTGCTTCAAGAAATAGATAAAACACTCGAGAACAATAACGGTAAATTAACATATGAAATAATCAGTGATATGACTTATTTACGTATGGTTTTTGATGAGACGCTCCGTTTATTTCCTCTGGTCGAGCCGTTACAACGCAGTGCAAGAGCAGACTACAAAATACCTGGAACCGACATGGTTATAGAAAAAAATCAGATAGTATTAATTACACCTTATGGTATTCATCACGATCCTAAATATTATCCAAATCCAGAAGTGTTTGATCCAGAGAGATTCTGTCCTAAAGCTTCTGCAGCGAGGCACCCATGTGCTTATATGCCATTTGGAGTAGGACCGAGGAATTGCATTGGTATGTTTTTAATTAAATAATTACTCTCAAGCAATTCACACAATTATCAGCCCCTTTATGGACCTTCTACCTTATTGTAGGTAAAGGTTTATAAACTTGAATTATAGTTACGAAACTAATAAGAAAAATAAATAGGATGGAAACCGTCCCTTCTGTTCCAAGTTGACAATTTAAAATATATATACAGTCATAAATAAATACTCAAATGGCGATATGCTGCAATTGTTAACGTAGATTTACTAGCATTTTACAAAATTTCCACCGGCAAAGTTAACGATGTTGATTTAATTAAATAATACAACAAGTACGGAACGTACAATAAGTACGGAATTCAAAAAGTTAAATGTTACCTTTAATTTCAATGAGAGAGACGTTCCTCAAGGATTATTCTTTGGTCCCTTCTTAGCTACACATATAAATAAAATTGTAGTGTCTATTTGTAATATTGAAATAACTGTTTTTTACTATTATACATAAATATGGTACATAAACCAAAACATGTTTTACAATTTTTGTCTGTCTGTCTGTTTGTTCCGGCTAATCTCTGAAATGGCTGGACCTATTTTGACGGGACTTTTATTGGCAGGTAGCTGATGTAATATGGAGTAACTTAGGCTACCTTTATTTTAGAAAAATTCTTTTGTTTTCCAAAATAAAGTTAAATTCCACGCGGACAAAGTCGTGTACAGCTAGTTTTTAATATATGGTACGTATGTCCATCAGTAATATTTGCGATAAACTTCTTTGATATCAAAAGGGATAAAGTGACTATGATTTCTAACGTTGTAAAAACTGCTTTGTTTTCCTATTATACTGATCCTCTTCCTGTTTGTATTATTTTTCTAGGCATCCGCTTCGCTAAATTGCAGTCCAGTATCTGTATTATCAAGTTTCTATCAAAATTCCGGGTTGAGCCATCTAAGAACACGCTGACAGAAATGAAGTTTGATCCCCAGAAGGCCGTTATGTCGCCACATGGTGGGATCTTTGTGAATATAATGAAGAGGAAATAAACGTGTGGTTGCATACAATTTCTTTAATCTGTGGTTGCTGCAGAAGGCAGCCTCTATCACTATAATCTCTTAAATAATAATTGGACATTTATTAATTATATTATTATAAGATATTATTTTTTTGTGTATATTAATCATTCTCGTGTCTTTTGTTAGGGTTCACATCGATACTGTCGAAAAATCTGATATTTTATATTAAAAGAAGGTAGTTTCATTATTGCTCGGTATCGTTAAACTAGTTGCATATAACCCCCACTCATATCTTCTCTGTATAAAAGGGAGGGTTTTTGTAGGCCGCGGCATTCGGTCTTTGAGCACAGGATGTGCTGGTTGTATTTTAAATGCTAAAGTGAATTGTGTTAGAGACATAGTTAAATTAATGGTATATAGTTGTTATTTTATTATAATACATACTTTTATACTAGTACATAGAGTTGAAATATCTTACACTTTTGTAATTGATATCTCATTAGCATGAATAAAAAAATATTTCATTATTAAATTAAATATTTTTTTTATTATATTTTTTATTCCTGCTAATGTTGTAAATGTAAAATATGTAAATATAATTTAGACTCCAGTTTCTGCAATCAGTCTCTTGCTAATATTATAAACGAAAAAGTTTTTCTTTACCTTTTCACGACTACACGGCTGAGCATATCTTAATGAAATTATGAATTTATTTTTAATTAATAATATTTTTCATTTCGTGCTGCTCGGTTATGGAACAAACTACCAGTACAGATACAGGAAAGTCCATCAATTGGTTGTTTTAAGAAAAGGTTGAAATCACACTATTTATCGACCTTAGTATGATTAGTTTCATCATGTATTTTATTATTTGTATTTTGTGTAATATATGTAGATATCTATAGTAATTGTATATGTATTTGTATATATGTATGTATATATATATAACTTTTATTAATGTTTATTTTATTAATTATATTATATATTATTATAATTATAATATAATTAGAACATTATTTAATTTGTTGAATTTTAAATGTTTTATTTTTCTCAACTTTTGGACATTTCAACATAATAGTGTTAATTGCACATGTGTCATACCCACTCACTAATAGTTATGCCTCACTGTTGGGTTGACTGGTAGAGATCTCTCTTAGATGTAAGTCCACTTTTGCTCACTCTGTATATGTTTAAGTTTAGAACTATATTTAAAAGTGCAATAAAGAATATATAATAAAATATAGAAGAGACTAAACGATAGATTGTATCACGAGAGTGTCTTTAATCAAAAATAGCAGGCGGTAAATAATTGCTGATAATTTAAATATTGTATTCAAATGCTAAATAAATACAGGTATTATTAAGAGTAGTATAACTATATAGTTATACGTGGTCTAACGGTTTAGCACATTGCTTTACTTCCTCTTGTCGCGGGTTCGATTCCTCGAACATTTCAAATATGTATTCATAAAAAGGATTATATTGGTCTGGGTGTTTCCTATGAATTATATGTATTTACAAAAAATATATTTGAGTGTTTCAGTCAGTTGAGCTAGATCCCATAACACTAGCTCTGCGTAGCTTGGAACTAGATGGCGCTATGAGAATTGTTCTGAGTTATTATTATTACTATATAAAAACTGAATTCATTACATAATATTTGGATAAAAAAGTATGTGCTTAGCAAAAAGCAGCCTCTTTCTCTATGTATAATATGTATGTATTTAGAAGAAAAAATGACAATGTATTTGTATCAGTTATCTAGTACTCATAACACAAGCTTTAGCTAGCTTAACTTGGGTCTAGATGGCGCTATGTGAATTGTCCTGAGATTATTATTATTATCAAATAGGAAGATACAAAAAGGTCGTAAGCTCAGTGTGGAAAATTGTTCAGGAAATAAAACACTAATTTATATCTTTACCCCATTTGAGGGCACGTGGAAATCATTAACAACTGATTTTCAGTTTCAACCAGATCAGAAGATGATAAACAGATTTAATCAACAGCCAATCGACTTTTATTAATTCGTTTAATACTATCAATAATAAATAATCAATGCTCTACGCACGATATCACATAGCTAATAGCGTATCCATACTTGCTACCCACTTACAGTCCTCCCACAGTTTTGCGTCACTGTCGGGTACACACACCATACACAATGCTTGTTTACTTTGTTTAACGTACAAACAATTTTGTGCGAATACATTGGCAGGGAGATTGTTAGTAATGAGCATTGATAGCATTTCAGGTAGAATTCCTCCGGTCCAACTGGAAGATATAGTGTTTAAGTCATCATGATTATCGGAACTCAGTCTCTGAACTCAAATGCAGACACTGTCAATGACAAAGGATTGGGAGAAAAGGGGACTGTGAGTAATGAACTGATGACCCCATTGCTAGCAAAGCAATGAACCATGTTAGGTGAACCTTCACGCGATTACACGTGGATACCATTGTGATAAATTCTTAGTGAATTTGTCACGATGTAGACCACTAACCAGACTGTTCATCTTATCTTTCTCCACTAGGTTCTTCACCAGTGCAAACCGTTAGTGGATCATTCCATTCAAAATTCAAAAATTATTTATTAATGTAGGACATTTTAGCCGCTTATGAATGTCAAGTTTTTACATTATAATTTTTTTCTTTACCGTCCAGTACAGTATATAGATCCAATTGAGAAGAACTGGCAAGAAAATCAATTGAAGTACTTTTTTTAAAAAGCCAGTTTATTTACAATGTATATTTATATATATAGGTGTCTATGTCTAACATTAAATGAAAATCCCGTACAATGAAAACTATTGCCATGCACGCTCGTCATTCAAGTAATCGTTTAGTGAGTCTAGTTCGTTGAGTGAGGCCTTGCTCAGTAAATATGATTTCATTATCATCCATTAAAAAAAATAATACCATAAAAGGTCTTGTATATTTAACAATATTCCAAAAAAAATATTTGAAGACGTCGTCGTCAGATGTATATCATCGCTGTATATACATATATACATACATATATATGTTTACAACTGTGGCGTACAAGAGAGTCTACTAAGCAAATATTTTCGCTGTTACTTGAAACGAGTTCGCAATTCGCAATAAGACGGGGTCCGAGTTTGCGCGTGTAGAATAATAATAATAATATTGCGCACACATAAATAAACAACAGTACAGTACAATAAAAAATTGTTTTACAAAAGGCGGTATTATAGCTATTAGCAATCTCTTACAGACAATCTAATGTTGACAGAGAGTATTTACATAGAGAAAGAAGCTAGAGGGCGCTCTAGACACTATATTTATTATACACTAGCTGATGCCGCGACTTCGTCTGCGTGGAATTTAACTTTATTTTTCTAAAATAAAAGTAGCCTAAGTTACTCCTTATTACATCAGCTAACTGGCAAAAAAGTCATGTCAAAATCGGTCTAGCCATTTCAGAGATTAGCCGGAAGAAACAGGTAGACAGACAGAGAGATAAAAATTGCAAAATATTTTATTTCGGTGTATGTACCGTATTCATATGCATGTAGTAAAAAACGTTTATTTAAATATTACAAAAAGACACTCCAATATTATTTATATGTGAATTACATGTGTCGCAGCCTCAGGAGTTAAAAAAAACCGAAATTATTTTAATATATTTAATTAAGAATAAAATATTACAAATTAAAATCTATAAACTATAACTATCTTCGGATGAAGTTGGTACCGAATTAGATTGAATTGACAAATACTGAGCCGCGGAGACACTACACTGCGGTGTCAAATCAGCAGTTTCCTAGCTCGGTGGCGCGACGAAGATGTGGAGCGCTGACTCGCCATTTCCAAGTACTGGCACAAAGTACAAAGCTGTGCTTCTCATCATCAATCATCAATTTCTTTAATAGCAACAGCTATAACATGTGTCGATTAATATTTTAAAGAGTTAAGTTTGTTGTTAGGCCGTTTATTCATTTATCCAAATACAGAAATACCTAAAGTTCCTGATCTTCGATGTTCGGGGTAACCTCCTGAACTACTGATCTAATGTTAGGACATCTGTCAACAAGATCTATCATTTATTATTAATTTTATTGATTTTAAATATTATATACAAAATATAGATTATTTATACTTAGAAACACAAACACTTACGTTAAAAATTATTTCAGTGTTAGGACTATAAAATATCACAGTATGACCAATAGGAAGTTTTATATATGTATATAATCATCATTGCCTTGCCTTTATCCCATTATTTGGGGTCGGCGCAGTATGTCATTCTCTTCCACTGCTCTCTATCAGTCGTCATATCTAAACATACTCTTCTTTTATTCATATCATCTTTCACACAATCCATCCATCTTTTCTTAGGGCGTCCCCTCCCTTTACATCCATCCACATTCATATTATACACTTTCCATAAGACATAATCCTCATTCCTCCGCATAACATGCCCATACCAGCTCAATCTGTTACCTCGCAACTTTTCTATAACCGGCGCAACTTTCAAACTTCCTCGTATATACTTATTCCTCCATTCCATGTATTCCATGTATCATTCCATGTATATAATATGTAAAATAAATAAATATATATGTATATAAAACGTGAGTCCGCTCACAGTGAGACCACACGCGCGTCTCAAGTTTTATACGAGAAAATGTAATATTCTCAAGTTCCAAGCGATCGCATTCTACGGGAGCCAGATTTAATTGGACAGTTTTGTGACAGCGGGGTGTTGGTTTGATTCCAGAAAGCGAAAACTTATGAAGACATACATATGTATCTAATACACATACGTATGTATTTATAAAGAAAATAACGCGTGTGTGTATACAGGAAATAGATAAGATATATTGGCATGAGATTACCCAGATTCTGATCCGAGAGCGGGTGGGGCGAGGAGCGAGGGGCAAGTTAGAGTTTCAGGTCTAGGAGATGGGACGGGGCCGTCAAGTTTTTTTAGGGTGCAAATTCAGTTATTACATGTATAGATAACTAAATACAAACCTTCATGAAGTAAGACTACTGGCCGAAGGTGG